AACCTTCCTGATGCTGTGACCCTTCAATACAGTTCCTCATGTGACCCCCAACCATAAGATTATTTTCATTACTACCTCCTAACTGTAATTTTGCTACCGCTAAGGATTACAATGTAGATATCTGATATGCAGGATATCTAATATGTGACCTCTGGGTAAGGGTTGTTCCACTCCCAAAGGGGTCTCGACTCACAGGTTGAGAACCACTTGTCCTAGCAGAACTTCCTGCTGAACAGCTCAAGGAAACACAGCAGCTTCATTACTTGGAGAAAATACACGGAGCTTAGAGGCTTCACTTGTCCAGGGAAGGACCCGAATCTTGAGTAGAGGAAAGGGGGACATCTGTGGATACCATCATGGGAGAAGCACTTTGCATCTCTTTACCTCTTTTCTCCCCACCCCACCCCTAATACCAGGAACAGCTACCCATCCTCCCGCCCCAAAGTCCCCAGTGCTTTCCTAACTACATTCCTGGCTCCAGCCCGTCTTCATTCCAGGCATCGTATTTTCTGGTGCAGCATGCGTCCTTATAGCTTGCGTACATATGTCCCTATAGCTTGCCAGCTGCTTGTGCTCTGTTGGGTGCCTGCCTATGAAGCATGGTGGCATGGTCCCATCTGGGCACGTGTCTCTGTCTATATAGGGTGTGTGTTGCCCTCACAATGGGGATACACCTTAGGGTTTCTGCTGCTTTTTATAGCAAAGAACGAGTGAGCCGTCCATCCCACTGCTGACACTGTGCCCTTCCTGTGCTTAGTCAGGCCAGCTCCCTTTGATAGCAAGCGTCCCGCTGTGCTCCAGGTATCTGATTCCCCATCTTGCCACTAGGCCAGAGCCAACCTTTCCTTATGGCTTCTCTCCATGGTTTGGGGGAGAGGAGTGCCCAAGTCCCTGCGTATAGGAAGTGGCTTCAACACTCTTGAGCTCCAAATCATCTGTTTGACACCTCCTTTTGATAGGTACCAAACTAGCTTCCTCCCATCTTCCCCTCCTCTGAGGACTTTGCCAAAACAATACCTTTTGACATGGAGGAAGAGGTAGATCCTCACCCCCAAAACCTGTTCCAGTGGAGATGTCCCACTGATTGAACTTGGAACAGACAATGAGTTGATTAACCTAGATGCTTTGTAAGGTAAAAACTTGAGCAGTTATCACAAAGGACTGCTTGTCTGGCTAGACTCACACGCTCCCCTGGACAGGTGAACGGCCAGGTTGGGTTGCTACCAAGGTAAGTGGCATCCAGATGCCTCCCTGTCCCGGGCCTTCATCATATCCCCACCATCTGTCTGATGTCTATGCTCTGCACAAGAACTGCTCATGCCACAGTTCCCCCTTCCACCTCTTATAGCAGAGTCAGAGTCAAAAGGCTGTTGTTTCTATTGGTAACAACTCCCTATAGGAACGGAGAGCCCAAGTTAGGCCCCAAAGGCAGGATTTACAGAAAGATGCAAAGGAGATGTGAATCCCTGATGAGCCCCAGGCAGCCTGGAATTCCAAGCAGAAGGGGCTTAGAAGGATGTAGGAAGATGGGGTCAACCTGGGCCTGGAAGGAAGGCCAGAAGTGTAGAGAGGCAGACCTGACAAGGAAGAACGTGGGCTAAGGTGGCAGGAAACTGTCTGGGTTGCTGGGGACAGGCAGTTGACAGAGTGTGTACCTTAGGCAGAGAGGACCTGACGCAGTGAAGTAGTAAGTGAGCTTTGACACGTCAAAGGACTGGACACTTTGGAAATTTTTATTATTTTTGCAGGGCTGAGGCTCAAAGTCAGGGCTCTGTACCTGCTAGGCAAGCATCCTACCTGCTGAGATATACCTCCAGCCCACTTTAGAGGAATGTCAAGGCCTTCTCTCTGGGACATTCAGACCCCATCCCGTAGGGACATTGTTTTCAAGTGAGTGGAGAAGCATTTTCTCACTCACACACAGGCTCTGTGTTTGCACATGGTAGGCGAGTGCTCTACTCCAGAAAGAGTTTGTTTGTTATAGGAACCCAAGCAGCACAGGTTAACCTGGAACTCACCGTGTATATGAAAGCATCCTTGATCTCCTAATCCTCTGTCCTGTCTCTCCACATGTCAGCATGCCTAGCCAAGCCTATGGTTTTCGTTGTTTGTTTTAACCATGGAGTCAAAAGTGAAGAGCTATAGTTTAAAGACAAGGAGAGGAGCCCTAACCCCAGGCACTCCTGTGATGTGCATGCCACCCGGGACCTTTGTGCTGGATGGACGCCCTGTTATTGGTTCTGAAATTGAGCCGCGTGTGTTAAATGTCTTTCCCTAAGAGGACAGACACGCCATAAACTTATATTTCCTTCCAAGAATGTGCTGCATTCTGCTGTGTGAAACTTGACTTGACCCATCTTTCAGCTGATGGACAGTATCACGAAAATGACTTTTTATTAATGGTTTCATTATTGAACATAAAATTAGAAAAAAGAAGACAAAGACAAAAAGACAAGTGTTTCTTACAGGTGATGGGGAACCACTAAAGAAAGGATTCTAGGCAGGACACTGGTCCTATGGATCTGTGTAATTTTTGTTTGTTTTGAGTCAATGGAACTCAAATCCTGGGCTTAAGCCATCCTCTTCCCACTCCAGACTTGTGCGTAGCACCTGGCTGGGATTTGGGGATGAGAAAACTTACCCTGTCCACTGGGAAGAAAGTGGACAAGAATTAGGAAAGTCAGTAAGAAACAGACCTCTAGGGCTGCAGAGACGGCTCCGTGGTTAGGAGAACTTGCTGCTCTTGCAGAGGACTGGGGTTCAGTTCCCAGAACCCACATGGTGGCTCACACCATCCATAACTTGTTTCAGGGGAGCCTATGCTTTCTTCTGACCTCTGTGGGCACCAGGTACACACATGGTGCACATACATGCATGCAGGCAAAATACTCATAGACATAAAATGAGATTTAAAAATCTAAAATGATTAAAAAAAAAAAAGGATTCATAGAGAGAAGGGCTGAAGGGCAGGGCCGAGGTGAGGGAAGAAGGAGACACTGGAGAGGGTAGTAGACAGCTTCACCATGACACCATGTGTCCCCATCCTTTCTTAAAGAGCCACCTGCTCCAGGGACCAAAAGACCAAGATGAAGAATAGGTTTACCCACCAGTGAAGGTCAGTGTGTGACTTGTAATAGTGTGCCTGGGTGACAAGAAAGATTTGAGGTAACCAGTGAACTAACAACAGCTTGCAAGAGACCCTGACGCTCCTGAACGAGGGTCAGCATGGGTTGCCCAGAGCCTAGGGGACGGAACAGCCGCTGTCTCTTGCCTCCCTGGGGCTCATCATTTATATCCCTTTTGAAGCCATTGTTGGTTGGGTGTAATTGGTTTTGCATTGCCCAGAGAGGGGTTTGACCAGGGGAGGGCAGGGAGAACAGACTCGGGAGGTGGGGAAGAGCAGGTGCAGGAAGAGCAGGTGCCGGGCAGCTGTGAGTGAAAGGTATGAAAACAGGCACTCTGTCTTCCTCTGTGGTTAGCAGGCAAACAACCTGAGAGCTGGGGTGATGGAGGGCAGCGACAGAGGGGGAGGAGGATGTGGAGGTAGGAACTTCCGGAGATGTAACAGGCACGCCCCCTTCGTTTCCACTCCGCACCAGCTCCCTCCCTCCCTTCCCTGCGCTTGGTCTCCCTGGGTGTGACTCATTTTTGCCTCTGCTGGGTTCCTGTGCCTAGGGAGTTTGCTCTCGGTTGGGAAGTAACTGGAAACTCAGTCTCTGCCCCTTTCCCAGCAGCCTTCAGGGGAAGCTTAGGCAGCGTCACTCAGTGGTAGAGGTGTTGACTCTGGAGGTAGGCAAATGTGCCTTCAAGTAAACCTCCTCTTGAGTTAGACACATCTGTGAGAGAAAGAAAGATTATACCTCAAGCTTGTGTGAATTAAACCAGATGGGAGGCCATTTCCTCAATTTCAGCCATAATCAAGAGAGAAAGAGGGAGTCAGCAACCACACCAGCACCCAGCCATCCCCTCCCACAGGCAGGATCCTAGGTTCACTCACTACCGTCCTTTCAGAATTGGATTATTGGCTTCTTGTTCCAATCAGGCCCAGTCCTCAAATGTCGGTGCTGACTGCAATCCCTAAGCACGCCACCTTCCGTAGCTCAGAACACAAAACACAAGACGTCAACCTTCATCTCTGCCACTTTGAGAGAGACTACTGGTCCCTTTTGCAGACAAAAAACCCCAAAGTTTCAGGCCAGGGACGTGGTCAGTGGTGGGGTGGGAATGCTTGCTTAGCGGGCATGAGCCCCGGGTTCCATCTCCAGCACTGCCAAAAGTTATAATAAAAAATTAAATCTAAGAAACACAGCATGGGGGCTGGAGAGATGGCTCAGCAGTTAAGAGCACTGGCTGCCCTTCCAGAGTACCCAGGTTTAATTCCCAGTACCCACATGGCAGCTCACAGCTGTCTGTAACTCCAGTTCTAGGAGACCCAACACCCTCACACAGATATACATGCAGGAAAAACACTAATGCACACGAAATAAATACAAACAGATGAAAACAGAAAGGAAGAGGGCATGGCACACCCTTTAGTCCCAGCACTCAGCAAGCAGAGGCAGAAGGACCACCCAAATCTGAGGCCAACCTGGTCTACACAGTAAATTCCAGACTAGCCAGGGATATACAGGGAAATCCTGTCTAAGATTAAAAATTGGAAGGAAGGAAGGAAAAGGAGGCATGATTTGTTCAAGGACGCACCATGGGGCCATGGACTAGTGCAGACAAGAAGTGGTTAGCCTAGAAGAACAGAAAGCGTCACAGGTAGTTTCCTCTCACAGAAAAAAGATAGGGTGCCGGGTGGTGGTGGTGCAGGCCTTTAATCCCAGCACTCAGGAGGCAGAGCCAGGTGGATCTCTGTGAGTTCGAGGCCAGCCTGAGCTACAGAGTGAGATCCAGGACAGGCACCAAAACTACATGGAGAAACCCTGTCTCAGAGGGGGGGAAAAAAAAAAGATAGGGCTATTGTTTCTTATTTTTCTTTCTCTTTGTCCTTGCAGTACAAGGAATTTGCCATCTACAATAACAGCACTGAGATCCCCCTACAGGAAAGTCGCTTCTGCTCCACAGTGGAGGGACCCCTGCTGACCTCCTTCAAGGCCATCTTCATGCCTGTGGCCTACAGCCTCATCTTCCTCCTGGGGATGATGGGAAACATCCTCGTGCTTGTAATCCTGGAGCGGCACCGGCATACTCGAAGTTCAACAGAGACCTTCCTGTTCCACCTGGCGCTGGCCGACCTTCTCCTGGTCTTTATCCTGCCTTTCGCAGTGGCCGAGGGCTCTGTGGGCTGGGTCCTAGGGACCTTCCTCTGCAAAATTGTGATCGCCCTGCACAAGATCAATTTCTACTGCAGCAGCCTGCTGTTGGCCTGCATAGCTGTAGACCGTTACCTGGCCATTGTCCATGCTGTCCATGCCTACCGCCGCCGCCGCCTCCTCTCCATCCACATCACCTGCGCAACCATTTGGTTGGCTGGCTTCCTGTTTGCCTTGCCAGAAGTCCTCTTTGCCAAGGTTGGCCAACCTCATAACAATGACTCCCTGCCACAGTGCAGCTTCTCTCAAGAGAACGAAGCTGAAACCAGAGCCTGGTTCACCTCCCGTTTCCTCTACCATATTGGGGGCTTCCTGCTACCAATGCTGGTGATGAGCTGGTGTTATGTGGGAGTGGTACACAGGCTATGCCAGGCCCAGAGGCGCCCTCAGCGACAGAAAGCAGTCAGGGTGGCCATCTTAGTGACAAGTATTTTCTTTCTTTGCTGGTCACCCTACCACGTTGTCATTTTCCTAGACACACTGGAAAGGCTGAAGGCTGTGGACAGTAGCTGCGAGCTGAACGGCTTTCTCTCTGTGGCCATCACCGTGTGTGAGTTCCTAGGCCTGGCCCACTGCTGTCTCAATCCCATGCTCTATACCTTCGCTGGCGTGAAGTTCCGCAGTGACCTGTCTCGGCTTCTGACGAAGCTGGGCTGTGCTGGCCCAGCCTCCCTTTGCCAGCTTTTCCCCAGCTGGCGCAAGAGCAGTCTTTCTGAGTCAGAGAATGCCACCTCTCTTACCACCTTCTAGATCCCAGAACCTCCACACACTGCTTTCTGTTTCTGTTTTCCTTGGGAGCCTGGAGTGAAAGGGCTAGAAGCCATTTCAACAAAAACTGGGGTTCTGAGAGCTTATTTGGGCCAGTGTCCCTATACGGGGCAGCCAGATGAACTCTTTCTAGAATATCCCTAAACTTTTCTGCCAGCCCTCAGGCTAAACTAGAGCCCAGGGAGGGGAAAGCAGCCCAAAGACAAAGCAAGAGATATCTAGAGGGCCTGCATCACCTCGGGCTAAGAGGATTGCACACACTTCCTATCCTAACCAGCCAAAGCTCAGAAGCGCTTTACTTCTCCCCTGGCCTTAGGGAGAACCACGCTACTGGTGGTTTCAGCTTTATTTTCCTCTGGTTATGGACCCCAGAATCTCCTCCCAGAATTCACTCTGTCATCTTAAAGGCTGCTGACCACCACAGCTCCCCAGCATTCCTATACCACCGAGGAACAGCCAGCTGGCAGCAGAGTATGGCCTTAACATGCTCGTCCCCTAAATACAAACTTTGTGCCAGACCTTCAACACTGCTGTTCTCTTAATCAAGCAGGAAGCTGAGACTGATCTACTTTAGGTAGCTGTCTAGCTCCAACCAAACCAGCATTGGGACGGCCCCATGTTACTGGATCTTGGACTACAGACCAAGAACAGGCTCCAGGAGGCCCTGGAGGCTAGCCAGTGTCCTAAGAAGAGTGGACGGTAAGCCAGCAGGAACGCAGCCCAGTGGAGAAATGGAAAGACACTCTCTCTCCAGGCCCCAAAGTGGGGCAAGTAAAATTCAAACCCAGCGGTCTTCTCTGCCCAGGGACCAAAGCTTCCAGACTGTCAGAGAGATAAGATCCAGGGCCCGGTTGGAGAGATGGCTCGGAAGTTAGGAGCACTCACTGGCTGTTCTTCCAGAGGACCTGAGTTCAATTCCCAGCAACCACATGGTGGCTTGCAACCATCTATAATGAGATCTGGTGCCCTCTTCTGGCCTGCAGGGATACATGCAGGCAGAACACTGTATATGTAATAAATAAAATCTTTAAAAACAAAACAAAACAAAAGAAACAAAAAACAGAGATCCGGGGCCCTACCTAATGGATTCTGGGCGCTGATGGGGAAGGAGGCCAACTTGCCTCTCCTGCAATCCTCAGGGCCCATGGAAAGTAAAATAGCAAAGGGGTCCTAGCCTCAGAAGAGGGGGCACTTAACGGAGAAAATGAACACAGAGATTCCCGTCTTCATCAGGCGGGGGCAATGTGAGAAGCCGACCTGGGCAGGGAAGTCCCCGAGCCCCAGGGAGGTGGTGCTGTGCCCCTGGGAGGGTACTACTCAGGTGGAACCAGAGGAAGCTGCTCCACACCTGCTTAGGGGAAGCCTAGCCGCTAATTCTGAGCGCCTCGTCCCAGCCACTGATGGAGGAGGGGGTGGGGGGTTGCCTGGTACCACTCAAGCCAAACAGACAAGCTCCCTGGGGGACCCCACTAGGGAAATCAGCTCTATAGCTTCAGAGACAACACCCCCATTGCAGAATGGAGACATCTTGGTATCCCCTTTTCTTTTTTTTTTCTTTTTTTTTTTTTTTTGGTTTTTCGAGACAGGGTTTCTCTGTGTAGCTTTGCGCCTTTCCTGGAACTCACTTGGTAGCCCAGGCTGGCCTCGAACTCACAGAGATCCGCCTGGCTCTGCCTCCCCAGTGCTGGGATTAAAGGCGTGCGCCACCACCGCCCAGCGGTATCCCCTTTTCTGTTCCCAGCATTCAACAGTCAGCTGGGCAGCAGAGAAACCAGACACAGAAACAAAAAAGGCATGAGATTACATTTTTGAATTTTCTCTTTTTAATAAAAAGGCACCTATAAAACAGGTCAATTCAGTACAGGCAGCACAGAGACCCCCCAGAGCAAGCCTACAAAGTGTTTCAAAATAAAAACCAAGAAGATGTCTTCACATATTGTATTTATATATTTATATTTATATATATATTTATATAATGGTACAAAATGGCTGGGGTATGGCCATGGATGGAGAGGAGAAGGCTGGCCTGTGGAGATCACCTTGGGAAGCTAGTGGAGGAGGTGGGAGCCAGGACACCAGAAGGGGGCATCGGGACCTTTGCGCCCTGAGCCCTCTCCTCGGAGCAGGGCAGTTAGACAGTTTGGACAGGCTGGGAACACGGGTGTAGGGCACAAGGCCCAGATGGAAGCAAGGAGGGCAGAGTGTCTGGCAGGAAGGAGGACAGGTTTCCACCCACCTCTGGACGCAGAGACCTTGGCTCTGGTCCCTGGGAGGGGCGGAGGAAGCCAGGGGCCTGCAGCCAGCTCTGGAGGGGAGGGTGCCTGATCCGGCTGACAATGGACAGCACCAGACTGGAAGAAGTGGGCACAAATTCCCTTTGTATTACAGCTGCCAAGGCAGAACCAGGCCCTGCAGGTCAGAAAGGCTGGGGACAGGGCCTTGGTAAAAGACACCCTGTCTAGAATGGCCCTTGGCCCTGGAGGCAGGGCAGGAGAGGCCTTGGCCAAGGAGCTGCCTGCCACCTTCGAAGGCAGGAAGGAGGAAGAAGGAAGTGAGAAAAGGAGAATTTTACTCCTGGGGCCGAGGGAGGCCAAACACCCATTCCTGTATGGCTTCAGTCTGACCAGTGGTGGGTGAGGGGCTCTCCTGGGAAGTAACAGGGAGGCAGTGGCTGTGCCTGGGTGGGCATAGACAGGTCTGGTACATGGCCCTGAGCCCTGGACAGAAGGACCTCGCCAGAGTGGACAGGCAGCAGGATGTCCCCCACACTGCCTTTCCTCACTCCATGCTAAGGGGTGGAGGCTGGAGAGAGGACTGACTCAGGCAAACGCTGTCCCTTCCTTCTTTGGTGATAAGCGAGTGGTGGTTTCTGGAAGAGTCTGTGCCCTGAGGGGCTACCTGGCCCAAGGCTACTGAAGCCATAGGTTGTAGTCACATCCTGCGAACCCCTCCATAGCTCCATTCCAAGGGGCCACAGGCTGCCCCTTCCTTCTCTCCTTTCTCATAGACTGGGAGGGACAAGGGCTTCAAGTTCTGGCTAAGGTGTAGCAGCAGAGGCGCCCCAGGCCGGGGGGCCTATGTCACTGGTGTGGGTAAACACATGCTCCTGTGCACACCTGCTCTCCGGAAATCACTCAGCAGCAGACAGGCGGCCATCGTAGGGGGAGGGGGAGGGATCAGTCCTCCCTGGCTCACCAAATGGAAGCCTAGATAGATAGTCTGACCTCAGTTGATAGGTGGGGCGTATGGAGGGTGCATAGGACTGTATGTCTCTGGGTCCAGGGGAAATGGTAGGAGTGATCATTTGAAGGAGGGGGAAGGGTTGTTTTTTTTTTTTTTTAAATCTTTTTTTGTGTGTGACTTCTATCAAAACACAGAAATACGGCACACGTACACACTGGCACAAAAGCGCAGCTCTATTTACAGCTCCGCTGGCACCTGCCCACCCGGCCAGCTGCCTGCAGGGGGCATGAGAGAGGAGGTCAGCCATGCCAGCAGGGAGAGGAAATGAGGAAGACCGGGAAAATGGGGCAAAAGCAGAGGAACCGGGAGGGGAACCATGGACCTGGAGCACCGATGGGGTGACAGTTCCAGAAAGGGACAGAGGGTGGAAGACCCCTCCTCTCCTTCCTCTCTCCCCAAGGGCCCCCAAAGCACAGCTCAAAGTGGGGAGAGTTGTAAAGACAGAGGGAAAGAGAAGCCTCATAGGAACAGGAAGGGCGGGGGAGGGCCAGTCCTGGTGGACGAAGTGGAGCGAAACCCAGTTCCAGCTCCCCACCCAAGTCTTGCGGCTCCCCCACCCCACAAGCTGCCAGCACATCAGGTTTCCACAAATGCCACTCCCCCACACGAGCCCCTCCCCCCTCTTCACCCTACCCCTGGACCCAGGCCATCCATCCCAACACTGGAGGGAAAAAAAACCAAAAAAAACCAAAAACCTTCTTAAAGTTTTTCTCAGCATCCCCAGCTCCAGACCCCGGAGGGGCCTGCTAGAAGGGTAGATTGGCCATGCTGCCCGGCGCTGGGAGGTAGCCCATCTGGCTGTCCAGAGACACACTACGCTGCCGCAGAGGGTGAGACACCATGAGGTTCTGCTGGGGTGGGGGGCCCATGAGGGAGCCCTGCGGGGAGAGCATGTGGGGAGGCTGGGTGTAGACCTCACCCCCCACACCGCGCTGCTTCATCAGCATAAAATTCTGCTGGGTCATGAGGCCTTGTGGTGGGGACATGACCCCCTGGTGCAGGCCGTGAGGCACCATGCCCTGCTGTGGGGGCACACCTGTCCTGCCCAGCAGGGACATCTGTCCAGGGTGGCACATGGACATGCTGAGCCCCCGCTGAACCCCCTGTTGGCCCGGGAGGTTGGGAGGCCGAGAGGGGGTCTGCTCCGCCATCATGTTCTGCAGGTTCATGAGATGCAGGTTGGGGGGCTGAGCCTTGGGGGGTTGGTTCTCACTCTTGGGGAAGTACTGGAGGGTGCTGCTCGGCTTCTCAGAGGGGATGATCCTGGATAAGTCGAACTCAGGAATGCCGGTAGGGGTGGGCCGGATCACCTCACTCAGCTCTGGGTCGTTCAGTACTGATGCCACCCCAGGTAGCACCCCGGGTGGGTATGCATCGCCCATGCGGCCAGCCATGCCTTTGCCCATCAGGTGCTGCTGGGGGGGTATGGGACCAGGTGGCTGGCTGGGCAAGTCCTCAGGGGGCAGTGGCATGCCGGAAGGGTAGTGCTGCTGCAGGCCAGGCCCCCCACCCCCACCCCCAGTGGGGGCCATGGCACCGTGGGGCTGCTGTAGCCGAGGAGGAAAGGGCATCATCTGGGAGGAGCTGGGCACAGGGCCACAAGGGGTATTTAGGGAGTCTGGGCCTCCTGGGGCCATCATCATCGAGTTTTGAGAGGGGCCCCCTGTCCCCTGTGCATTGGGGTGCAGTGGAATGTTGGACCCCAGAGGGGTAGGAGAGGGCAACATGGTTGGTGGGGGCTCATGGGACAGGGGCTGCTGGCCTGGCAAGTTCATGCCCATGGGGCTCTGGGCAGCAGCAGGGTTCAGGTGCATCTGGTTGGGCTGGTTATTGCTGATGCCTGTGGGGAAAGAACAGGACATTAGAGGTTGTGCCCACCCAGGAGGTGCCTCCCCCATCCCTCCCCACCCCATGAAAGTACTGGTCTAGGTTCCACGGGGGCAATTCCTAGACAGACCCACTTTGCCACTCCCAGAGAGCTTTGCCGCCTCATACCTGGCCCGGAGCCCTGCGGTGGTGGGGGTGGGGGTAGCAGGGGCCGGTCGGGCAGCAGCTCGTCATCTGAGGTGGCGATGGTCTTGATGGCATTGTGGTAGAGAGGGGTAGAGCTGGGCATGGCATATTTGGACATCTGAGACATCATCAGTGACAGAGGGTTCTGGGACGGCGTGGGGTCCGGGGAAGATGTGAACGGTAGGCTGGGGTTCATGAGGCCACTGGGAGGATTGGCAGGAGGCGCTGAGGAGCTGTTCCGGGGGCCACTAGGTGGGAGGGTACCTATAGAAGTGGAGAGACAGAACGAGCAGGGGTCACTGGGGAGGGAAGGCTGAATTTGGCCACTTATACCCAGAGGGTCTAAGGAAAGGTCAATTTCCTCCAAATCTCCACCTCATTTCAGGCACACTGACACCTCACTGAACACAGGCTCCCCATGATTCCAATGGCCCACCCACCATTTTTGTTTGTTTTTTGAAACAGGGTCTCTCTGTGTAGCTTTGGAGCCTTTCCTGGTACTCACTCTGTAGCCCAGGCTGGCTTCAAACTCACAGAGAGAGATCCCAAGTCCCAAGTGGGACCCTTCAGGATGCCCAGATGTACCTGGAGCTCTGTGTAAGAGACTCCACACAGTTGCCACCAATGCCCCCGCAGGAACCTTTCCACCACGAAGGCTCCAGCCCAAGTCCACCAGACGACTCACCCTGTTCCATGTTGCCCAGAGTAGAGGAAGAGTTTATGCTGAGAGGCGGCTGCTTACTCTGGGAGACCCCAGGGCTAGGCATGGCTGTCTTGGGAGAGGCGACCCAGCCTGGAGAAGGCACCGCCATGGAGGGGGACTTGAGTCGGCTGGGTGAGCCAGTGGGTGACCGCACGAGAGAGGAGCTGAGGACCTGGGGAGACTTGAGAGGTCCTGGCGGGTTGGCAGAAGGCAAGGGCACCATCTGTGAGGGAGTCTGGGGTGACTTGAGGTTGGCAGAGGGTGAGGTGACCAGGGGTGAGTGCACCTGGCTAAGGGTGGGTGACTTCAGATGCCCCATACCTGGTGAGCCCATCTGATTAATACTGATGGTGAGGTCTGAAGGCCGTCTGCCCAGTCCCCTGTTGGGGGCTGAATGCACAGACCCAGGAGGAGGATTGGATGCAGGGGGCAGAGGCATATGGCTGAGCCGGGTGGTGCCCACAGTGCCCATGGGCATTGAACTCTGATCAGGGCTGAACATGTCTTGAGTGTTGCCCATGTCCTGGGGCATGGCTTGGTAGGGTCCCTGACCCCCAGAGAATCCCTGCTGGCCCTGGTTGGGAAACTGTGAAGACATAAGCATCTTCTGTGGACCACCCATCATGCCACTGCTGTTCTGGGCCCGAACCCGAGCCATCTCTTCAGGACTAAGGCCCTGAGGCCCCATCATGTCTCCAGGGCCTCGCATCTTCTGTGACATCAGCATCTGCTGCTGCGGCGTCATCTGCACATTCAGGTTCATGTTCATGTTCATGTTCACATTCATGTTCATGTTGAGGTTGCCCGGTCCCATAGGCGGGTCTACCTCCCTCAGCCCAGACTGTCCCATTGGAGGGCTCAGGAGGCCCCGGCCTCCACCGAACTCTATGCCCATGGGAGTGCCAGCCAGGCCATCTCCACCAGTCATCTGCCCCGGAAACATGGTGGGATCCATCTGTCGATGTGCCTGTATCATCCGGTCCATTTCCATGCTCTGTCCCATGCCACTACCTGCCATGCCCAGGGGGCGCTGCATGCCCATTGACCGCTTTTCCAGCAACTGGTGCCTCAACAGCTCCTCCCGGACACGAGGGGTCATGAATCGCTCTGCCTCACCCTGCCCACCTGGATAGGGCACGGCATTCTGGGCAAAATTGCTGGGTCCCCCAATAGGAGGCAAGTCTTCAGTCCAGCCCATGCCTGGCCTTACAGGTCTCTGCATGGCATTCATGGGTACCTCCATGGGCATACTCTGTATACTCCCAAATCCAGGTACCCTTTGCATCTGGTTGCCCGGGAAACGGGGGCCAGGGAAGGGAGGTCCGGCTCGGAGCTGCATGGGATCTTGGACATCCATAGGTCCTCGGAGTTGTGCACCCATTCCAGGGGGCCACTGATCCCCAGGTTTGCTGTGGTAAGGAGGTGGAGGCCCCCTTCCCATCATACCCCCCATGCCCACCATGTCCTGCAGAGGGCGGCCGCCGTGCAATCCAATCTGCTCCTCTTTCCGCCGCTTCTCCTCATAGTACTCTTCCTGCAGTTTGCGCCAGGCCACCTGCTCAGGCGTCAGGCTGTCCTGGCCCAGCCTCTGCATCATCATGTTCATCTGCTGTCCCATGTCCCCACCCTGGGGGTGTCCCGGCACTTCATGCTCCAGTGGGGGGCCTCCTAGGCTCTGCGTCTGTGAAATCATCGACTGCAAGGGCTCCTCGTACTTCTTCAGCCCACTGGGAGGGGCCGAGGGAGGCTGCTGAGCGGCAGAGGGAGCTTGCGCTGGTGGGCCCCCCTCACCAGCTCCTCCAGGGGGCCCCTTGAGGAAAGGCTCAGTCTCCCCGCTCCGGAGCAGCAGCCTCTCAATGTCCCGCAGTGTCTGGAGGGAGCGCTCGCGGTGCTCCAGCTGCTCTTTGGACAGGCCCTCAGAGCCCACCAGGTTCCGCTGCCCATTTCCTGTGGGGGTAGCCTCCCCCAATAGGGCTGAGCCAGGGGCGCTACCAGCGTCTCCTCCCGGAGGCAGAGGGTTGTTAGCAGTGGCAGCCGTTGGGGTGTTAGGGTGGGTGCCCCCGGTCCCACCACCTGTGCTGGCAGCTCCCACTGAGTTGGGGGCCAGGTCCTGACTGGTGTCTTCAGGAGGCCCCTCTGGGGGCAGAGCAGGAGGGGCACTGCCAGGGGCTGCGGGTGGCGGCGGCGGCAATGGAGGTGGCTGAGACTGTGGTGTACCTGCTGACGGCGTGTTCAGGGGTAGTGGCTCTGGGGTGGGTGGCACTTTAGGGGCCTGCAGGAAGACAAAGGTAAAGAATTAAGACAGACGAGGGGCCATCCCAACCTATCTTAGAACCAGGCAGGGAAGCACGCTCACCTGATCCAGCTTGGCCCGGGGCACATTCTGCTGGTGGTAGGCGAGGATGGACTCTGCCCGGCCCTGCAGCACGGCCTCTGCAGCCCTGCACAGCGGAAGTCACAGGCGGCTCAGACCCGCACAGAAGAGAGCCCACCCCCGCCCACCCACCTCGCCCCTGCGTGTGCTCAGGGGTAGACCAAATCCCTCGCCTCTCATCTCTCCCAAAGACTTACGTGTTGGCCAGGTGGGTGGTGAAGACATACACGAACTGTGACGGAGGCTTTCCTGAGACGCCCCCACCCCCACCCCCAGGAACATCTGGCCGAAGGCCTGGTGGGGGGCCGTGGGGGGGGCCTGGTGCACTGCTTTCACTGAGGGGCAGTTGGGCAGTTTGGCCGGGACCCAGCTGTGGGGCCGCCATGGCTGGGTCTGCTACATTACAATCTGCAAGAGAGAAAAAGGATGGCAGGTGAGCGGCCCAGATGTGGGGAGAAGAATCAGCTGGTGTTTCTGCCCGGAATGCTCACTGCCTCACAGCCCATACCCAGAGGGTCATTTGTCCCCACAATCTCCGTGTTTCCATGCTGACTTGCCCTACACCAATCTTTGCCCAAGATGGCCAGAACGATGACCACGTAGAGAGGAGAGGGAAAACGAGGAGACACACCAAAGCTCTTCTTAGCTCTGCTCCAGAGCACTCCCACCGTGGTGTCTGTGTGCGTGCATGCGTGTGTGTAAGAGAGAGAGAATATACTGTCTAATGAGTGTGTGTATGTGAGAGAGAGAGATAATATACTGTCTAATGAGTGTGTGTGTGAGAGAGAGAGAGAGAATATACTGTCTAATGAGTGTGTGTGTGTGTGTGTGTGTGAGAGAGAGAGAATATACTGTCTAATGAGTGTGTGTGTGAGAGAGAGAGAGAGAATATACTGTCTAATGAGTGTGTGCGTGCGTGCGTGTGTGTAAGAGAGAGAGAATATACTGTCTAATGAGTGTGTGTATGTGTGAGAGAGAGATAATATACTGTCTAATGAGTGTGTGTGTATGTGTGTGTGAGAGAGAGAGAGAATATACTGTCTAATGAGTGTGTGTATGTGAGAGAGAGAGATAATATACTGTCTAATGAGTGTGTGTGTGAGAGAGAGAGAGAGAATATACTGTCTAATGAGTGTGTGTGTGTGTGTGTGAGAGAGAGAATATACTGTCTAATGAGTGTGTGTGTGAGAGAGAGAATATACTGTCTAATGAGTGTGTGTGTGTGTGTGTGAGAGAGAGAATATACTGTCTAATGAGTGTGTGTGTGTGTGTGTGTGTGTGTGTGAGAGAGAGAGAGAGAATATACTGTCTAATGAGTGTGTGTGTGTGTGTGTGAGAGAGAGAATATACTGTCTAATGAGTGTGTGTGTGTGTGTGAGAGAGAGAATATACTGTCTAATGAGTGTGTGTGTGTGTGTGTGTGAGAGAGAGAATATACTGTCTAATGAGTGTGTGTGTGTGTGTGTGTGTGTGTGAGAATATACTGTCTAATGAGTGTGTGTGTGTGTGTGTGTGTGTGTGAGAGAGAGAGAATATACTGTCTAATGAGTGTGTGTGTGTGTGTGTGTGTGAGAGAGAGAGAGAATATACTGTCTAATGAGTGTGTGTGTGTGTGTGTGAGAGAGAGAGAGAATATACTGTCTAATGAGTGTGTGTGTGTGTGTGTGTGTGAGAGAGACAACATACCGTCTAATGAGTGTGTGTGTGAGAGAGAGAATATACTGTCTAATGAGTGTGTGTGTGTGTGTGTGTGTGTGAGAGAGAGAGAGAGAGAGAGAGAATATACTGTCTAATGAGTGTGTGTGTGTGTGTGTGTGTGAGAGAGAGAGAGAGAGAGAGAGAATATACTGTCTAACGAGTGTGTGTGTGTGAGAGAGAGAGAATATACTGTCTAATGAGTGTGTGTGTGAGAGAGAGAGAGAGAGAGAATATACTGTCTAATGAGTGTGTGTGTGTGAGAGAGAGAGAAAGAGAGAGAGAATATACTGTCTAATGAGTGTGTGTGTGTGTGTGTGTGTGTGTGTGTGTGTGTGTGTGTGAATATACTGTCTAATGACCCAGGCAGGAAGGCAGGGAGGCTGTAGTAGGTGATGATTCAAACGACAGACAGCTTTTCATTCTACTCCCCCACCCACTGACTGGTTTTACAAGACACAGACAGCATTTGTCTCAGTTTCTTCAACTACAAAATGGAAACACCACTCAGCTCCCATGTGCCCTGCCGGGGACAGGTCAAAGAAACACATCTTCTGTGCCACCAAGCCAACTGTCCATTTCGATAACAGAGTCAGAAAGGCGGTATAGAATAAAAGTTCCTCCTCTGCTTTCATAAACTGATCAACACAAGATTTCTGTCACCTCTGATCACAAGACTCATATGGAGATGTGTCCCCATCAGCAACCAGCCAGCAAACCCTGCAGCAGTTCTAGTCTGACATTTGTCTTTCCCACAGTTTGAGGGGCTCAGGAACACAATACTGCCCACCTCCCGGCTGCCAATGCCAAGCTCAGGGGCGGTCTGCCTGTAAATTGGGGCTTCTGGGATTCATTCCTCAGATTCAACTAGATGTCAGAGCAACTGGAAGAAATACCTTACTGCTGTTTATCAGTTAACCCGAAGAAGAATACAGGAAGAGCCTGAGATGGCTTAGTAGGTAAAGGTACCTGCTGCCAAACCTGCCAAGCCCCTGGGACCCACGACCCACATGGTGGAAGGAGAGAACTGACACCCACAAATTGTTTCTGACTACCCCACTCATGCACCATGGAGTGTACACACACACACACACACACACACACACACACACACACACACAAATTAACATGATGCTAAAAACAAAGACAGGTGAGATGAACCAAGTGTGCAAGGCACGTGAGAAGGGACACTTGCTTCTGGGCCCTCTCTGAATATGTCCCTACTCAGAAGTCTACACAAGTCAGCTCTCTGAAACGTATGACGCCGTTTTTTTGGTTTTTTTTTTTTTTTTGGATTTTGCAGGGATGAGCGTGCGTGTGTGAATGTGGATGGAAGGGGCAGAAGGTGTGCACGTACAGTTTAAGGGCACAGGGTACATACAGAGGTCAGCAGAGAACTCTGAGTGTTGGTTCAGGAGCCTTGAACCTTTATTTCAAGACAGGATTTCTCACTAAGCCTGGAACTCGTGCACAGCAGACTAGCTTGCCAATGAGTCCAGAGAACCTGCCTGCCTCCACTTCCTAGGTTGGCATCACTGGGATTACAGGCAGACGCCACTGCATCCAGCTTTCTTTCTTTCTTTCTTTCTTTTTTTTTTGGTTTTTTTTTTTTTTTTTTTTTGGTTTTTTGAGGCAAGGTTTCTCTGGGTAGCCCTGGCTGCCATGGATCTCACTCTGCAGACCAGGCTGGCCTTGAACTCATAGATCCACCTGCTTCTGCCTCCAGAGTGCTCAGATCACAGGTGTGTACCACCACCGCCCGACTGTATCCAGCTTTCTTATTTGTCGTTGTTTTGTTTGTTTGTTTGTTTTTGAGACAGCATTTCTCTGTGTAGCCCTGGCTGTCCTGGAACTGACTTTGTGGACCAGGCTGGCCTTCAACTCAGAGATCCACCTGCCTCTGCCTCCCAAGTGCTGGGATTAAAGGTGTGCGCCATCACCACCCAGCTTGCATCCAGCTTTCTATGTAGGTTCTGGGGATCTGAACTCAGGTCCTCATTCTTATAAGACAAGTGTTTTACCAAAGGAGCCATCTACCTAGGCTTCTTTTTGGATTTGTACAGACTCATCATTAGTCATATTTAAACCAATTCCACCTTCAGCGCCATTCCCTCGTCCACAGGTTGGAGTATGAGACTGAGCCCCCAACCTCTAACCCTGCTTTGATCTTTCAGTCATCAGGTTCCATCTAGAAGCTACCTCAGGGCTAGCAGCCACACCAGTCAATACAATATAGGAAAAAGAACAGTTATCACTTTGGAGACTCCCAGGATTTTAGAGTAGTATGCCAGGAAACAAGGCAAGACCAAACATACATTTCACAATATCACAGGCTGACATACTGGGATCATTCCCAGAATAGCTAAGCCGCCCTTAGTTTAGCACCAAGACAACTTTTGTTTCATGGTCACAAACTTGACTCTCCATTCCCATACAGATGAGATCCACAACTGGCCATCAGTGGGTTTATTTTAGGGGTTTATCCACGCTCATACCAAGAAAAACAAGCCAAAGCCCCCGGACGGCAGTGACAGCACTTCCGGATAACACAAGGGCTTGACCAAGGCAGCAGCCACCTTAGAATCAGAGTCAGCTCTCCTTGTATAACTCACTGGTCCACCCCATAACAGTTTTGCCATGAGCCTCCTGCCAATTGTGAGCTGACCTGGATGTATGCAAGCACAGCCTCAGAAGAAGAAAGTATCAATTAGAACATCCAACAGGCTCCTACAAGCTATGGAGGCACAGTTCAGTACAAGAAGGGACTTTCTAGTACCATGATAGCAATACGAGCCAACACTGTTCAAAGTGTGCTATATGCCTGAATTCACGTTCTCCTTGTGCTAAATCGATACTGCAAAGATAATTTTTATAGATGAGCAATCAGAAGTCCTTTCCCAAGTTTATACAAATAGCAAGTACATCCCTGGGATATAAGTGAAGAAACAGGTCTCCGAGCCTGTGCTGTGAATATCTACATCATTCTGCCTCTCCTTGAAGAATTCAGTTGTGTGGATGAATGCTGTTGAATGGCATGGTGTCACAAGACTATAATCTCAGCACTTTGGAGATATAGGCCAGCCTTATATATAGCAAACTTGAGGCTAGCCTATACTACAAGAAACCTGGTCTCAACTGAATGACAGTCTATCTAAAAGAGGCTGCTCATGGGATTGTCTTTCTTTCTTTCCCCCTCAAGACAGAGTTTCTCCGTGTGACATCCCTGGCTGTCCTGGATCTCCCTCTGTAGACCAGGCTGGCCTTGAACTCAGAGATCTGCCTGTCTCTGCCTCCAAGTGCTGGGATTGAAGGCATCCGGACCACCGCCCGACTGGGTCTTCTTTTTATCTCTCTGTATCTTTCAAAGTTTTTACAATGATACAGTCTAATGTTACAGAAACAAACCTGGGGTAACAGGAGGGTTCCTGTCCCAGGAAGCAGCAAAAGATTCCACCACTCAAGTGTCCGTACAGAGACCGGGGGGGGGGGGGGGGGGGGGGGGGGGGGCACTAATTAGTCACATGGGAGCCTCTGCAGTCCCAGCCAGCTGTAGAGGCTTCTGACTGGCCACCCCTCAGGAGGGTCCACTCATTCCTACTTGCTGACTGTGTCCTCTCTGTAACAGTCATCAAAAGCTGCTGGGAAGACTAAACACAGTGACCAGCATATTCTTCTGCCTCCTTTCCCTGATTCCTGCCTTCAAAAAGGCCACAATTTAACCAGATGTGGTAATGAATGCCTTTGATCATAGTACTGGGGAAGCAAAGGCAGATGGATTTTTGTGAGTTCTAGGCCAGCCAGGGCTACACACTGAGATCTTGTATCCAACAACAGCCCACCTATCTCTTCTCTGAAAACAGATGTAAGCTTTGAGGGAAAACACCAAGGAAATGGATGTCTTAGGTCTCCAGTACATAAGGATGGATTAAAGAATGAGAGCCAGGCGGCAGTGGCACACGCCTTTGATTCCAGCACTCAGGAGGCAGAGACAGGTGGATCTCTGTGAGTTAGAGGCCAGCCTGGTCTACAGAGTGAGTTCCAGGACAGCTTGGGCACACAGAGAAACCCTGCCTCTAAAAACAAAAAAAGAAGAGAGAGGAATGGGTATCATCACACCTACTTCTCGTCCTAGCAATGCACCTGACCACTTTCTGAGAGTCACTCAGAGGAAGGGACCAGTGTGGACTCACACCTTCTGTTAGGTTAGCAAGGCTCTCTCTGCAAAGCCAAGTCCGTCCCAGACTGGACCGTCCCTGCCCATCCTCCATTCACCAGTAGGTGGCAGCATAGGCCATGAAATCTGTTAGAAAAGTAGGTGCGTTGTCCAGGAAAGGGACTACCTGAAAGACCCTACAGAGTGGACAGAGGAGAGAGAGAGTAACTAAGGACCCGGAAGACTGGGACTGGGTTACCACAATGTAGATAGCCAAAAAGTGTGAAGTAGGACTGGAGAGGAGCCTGGGTTCCTGGTCCTGGCCACTTCACCCACAACCCTCTAAAGCCCTAGGTAAGGAGATTCCCTTAGGACCGCCATCCGTGGAGGGCACCATGAGGCACAGAATCAACGGATACTCACTGTGGGCGGCCCCAATGGGCTTATCGTCCTCCTCGCTGTCTGGGCCGGAGCACCATTCGTCCCCACTGTACGGCTGCTTCCGCTCTAGCACACACCTCCGTTTGCTCCGGGGTGCCACCTCTGCCCAGGCAGAATAGAGACAGGAGTGAGTGCTAAGATGTCCTGCCCTTCCACATGCAGAGGCCCTCCCAGACCATGCTCCAAAGTGCCCCTCCCTAAAGGGCATTGCCCAGACCACGGTGGGCACTTTGCCAGTCCTCGGCCCCCACCACACCACCATTTGTTTCTGATTTCTTTCTCCAACCCTGGCTGCCTGTCTCCCCTCCCCCCCCCCATACCAAGTAGAGCATAATCCCAACCACAACTGGTTCTAATTAGGGTTGGGGGGGGGCAGGGAGGAGCCACTGTGACTCTTTCAGGCCCCAGTGCCTGTTCCCAAAGGGCTTGGGGGGGTTGTCGCTATTCACCCAGGACACCTCCCTCTCCAACGTAGGGGCTATGGTAGGAAGGCGGAGTACGGACGACACTAGAAGTCTATCACTCTGTGTCCAGCCCTTCCATGAGTGGTACCCTGGCCAGCCTACTCTGGAATGAACCGGTTGACTGATGGCATAGAGATATGAGGAAGAAAGGTGATCAAAAGAACATTGGAATGGTAACACAGGATGAGAGCCAAGCAGGCGACGGTCTCTGACCAGCGTGGGTCTTGGGCTGCAAATGATGTTAGTCTAGAGATGAGAGAATACAATACCTTTGGCCTCTGAATCGAGGGATGGAGTCCCAGCCTCCCGCTGCTCTCCGGAGTCTACGGATACACTCCGCTCACGCTTCACCTTGCCCTTGAGTGAGCTGAAAGGAGGCACCCCTGCCTGGGGGTTCTTCAGACTTGAGTTGCTAGGTGAGATCTGATTGGCCTTGGCCCCATGGCTTCCCGCCCCCACGCCCTTGGACCCCAGGTTGCAGGTGGGTCCTTGGTTCACATTCTGGTGCTGGGATTGGGCCCCTCCATTCCCTGTCTTGCCATGATTGGTCAATTTATTTTCTGGGTGCATTGGCTTGGCTGGGGCAGGGGGGCAGTGGCCGCGAGGGGACAGCGGCGGGCTCCCTGGAGCTTCTCTCCTCCTGGGGTGGGGTAACCTGGGAGAAGGGAGGAGAGACAGGAAAGGTTAATCCTACAAAGAGTTAGGCAGGCCTGGACTTTAGCTCCCTCACCTCACCTAATGGTGTAGGGGTGGCTAGACGCTATCTTGAGACCACCTGCTATTCCCTACCTCAGATAAGAGCAGAGCTCTGTCTCCCCGCCCCCCATGGGAGTGGAGATGGAGCAGTGTTCCTTATCTCCTAGGCCCGATTCAAATGGAAACTAAGGCTTTGAGTTGGCAGGATCTACCTACCCTCAGCCTCAACATCCACCAGCTTCCCTGGCAGCCCATTCTCTCTAGCATTTGATGAATCCTTAACACCTTCTAGGGTTTAAGACTCCTTCCAAGGCCCCAAACCTCAACTATGCTGTGCCCTAACAACTAACAGAGAAGGGCCACAGGACCTGTGAGTCACTGATCAAGCCCAGTCTTATTCCCTAGGGGGGTAGGGGAAGCACGATTGAAGTGGTACCCACTGGCCCAGAAGACTCCCCAGAGCCTAAGGGGGAAGGCCTGAGAGGGTGGACCAGTAGGCCCTGAAGGCAGGCAGGGACAGAAGGAGGGGGGAGGGGAGTGGTATGTCAAGCGAGGAGTACAGCTTGAAGCCAAGGATTCCTGCAGCCTAGGCTGCGGGCCCTTTAAGCTCCAGCCCGCTCCCCCCACCGCCTCCCCCTCCCCGGAGACCTATTAATAGCCGCTGGAAAGATCACATCACGGGAGAGGATATTTATCCCCCCTCATTCCACACCAGCTCAGATTTATTTCAGCCCTGCTGTCCTGCTGCTGCCGCCTGGCCCTGTCTGCCTGCTTCTCCTGGGGAGGAGGGAGGCAGGCACCACCCCCACTCCAGCTCCTACCCCCAACTAGACTGAGGCTGGAGGGCGCCATCCCACCCCACCACTAGGGTGGGTGGGGGTCTGCTCTAACGATTTTGGGAGGGACGAGGTAGAAGGGACCAGAAGCTAGCTGCCAGCCTCCTCTGCCCCCTGGGCCCAGGCGCTAAGGCTGGCTGCCAGCTCCTGCCTGGGGCCAGACGTTCCCACTCTGCCTCCCTTTAGCCCACTAGTGGCCAGGAAGCCAGGTGCCCAAGGGGCTCCTCTCCAAACCGGCAAAGCTTCACAGCTTGGCCCCATCACCGTGGGCCCTTCCCTTCCCCGCTCTCCGTACACACACATCCCACCCTCCGTGACACCCACACACCTTGTCTTGTTAGCCAGGATCCTCATGGCTCCCACACACAGTGGGGCTACGGCCCCTGTGCGTGCCCAGGGCCCAGCCAGGTACTCGGTACTGGAGCAGGGACTGCAGCAACAAGCCCCAAAGAGAAAACTTGTGACTTAGGGAGGGGGTGTATGAGGGGAAGGAAGGGAGAACCCAACAGCCCCAGGACTAAGGAACTGGATAGGGTAGGGTGGGATTGGGAAGAGAAGACTTCTCGATCCTAAAGACCAGTCCAGTCCCCATCCCTCCCGCACCTTGTCCTCAGGGAACTTGCAGTATCTAGCAAACCAGCCCCCCGACAACCCTCCCCCCAGGGGCTGCAGAGTCAGAATTCACTAATAGACTAGGTCGCAAAAGTGACGCGTGGGGCGGCTGCGAGGTCTGCTCTGGCCCACTGGGGGACTCCCGCTCCCAGACACGCCCCTCACCTAGGATTCGGGAATCCCTCACGCCCCGCCCCAGCACTGCGCCCTGTCCCCAGGCGCTGCAGCCTTCCAGGGGCCGGGGTGGGGGCACTGCCCTGCCCCGCCCCCAGCTCCAGGCCTAGCCCGTGCCCATCCCGGCAGGCCCGGGCGGGCAGCAAGAGGCCTGGCGGGGCCCCGGGGCTGCAGCTGGGCTCTTCTGGAGACCAGTAACGCTGGCTCAGATTCCTCCCCGACCGCAAGAATGCAGGAGCCTCCCCTCCCCCCCTCCCTTGCACCCCCACCCCGCCCCCTTCGGCAGAGCCCGAGTGTAGAGACAGAGCGAGCAAGGAGCGAGAGAGCCAGCGAGGCAGCGAGCGAGGGTGAGGGAGGCAGACAGGGCTGCAGCGTGGATCTCCCGGGTCCACTGGAGGGCGCGCGGACAGACACACGGACAAGTCCCCCAGGGACTGACTGGGCACTAGCCGGCCTGGCAGACTGGGGCGCGCGGAGCTGGGGCATAAGAGACCCACAAGCACCCGAACTCTGACTCACACGCACACTTACAGCTCACACGTGGACAGGGAGACAAAGACACGCACGGAGCCCAGGAAACTAGAGACGCTCACGGCCAGCTGGCGGAGGTGTGCCCGAGGGACTGGGCAGCGAGAACCAGCAGGAGCCGCCGGGCAGCCTGGGGCATACAGACACCCTGACCGCCAAGCGAAGTGAGAGCCGCCGGCGGACTCATTGAGCAGATGTGAAGACTGAGACCCACACACAAGGGAGCCATAGAAAGTTGAGCCCGACAGTCACAAAGAATACACAGAGAGCCATAGATACACCAACAAGCTGACTTACACAAACACAGACGCCTCATCCAACCGCCCCCTGCTCTGTCCCCTTTCCCCGCCCCCAGCAGCGATCCCGGTAAAAGGTGGGGGAGGGAAGGGGAGGAGTCTTGGGTCCCAGAGCTTCTTCCCGTGACAGGTCCAGCTAGACACACCCGTGCACACTCCCGCTCCCTGCTCAGCTGCGGGAAGCTGGGCTGGGACCTCCAAGTAAGGGGGCCCTACCAGGTACACCGTGGACGTCTAACCTTAACTTAACCCCTGTGGAACGTTGGCCTTCCCCACTCCAACTCTGTACCTGGACAAGAAGGTTCTAAAGTCCAGGGCCCAGCTTGCAGCAGCCAACACACACACACACACACACACACACACACACACACACACACACACACACACACGGAAGATCAGAGGCAGGAATCGCCGGGGACTCCTGGGAAAATCAGCCTGGTCAATGGTGGACATACAGCTTAAGCTCTCACCTTCATCCCTGGTTGATTCTCAAAGCTACCTACCCAATTTCATAAAGAGGAACTGAGGTCTGAGAAAAGAAAGCTGTATTCTCTTGGGTCACATGACAGCTAGAGCAACCAAGGACCCCCATTCCAGGCACTACAGTGCCCCCTTGGAGCCAAGGCTGTTCATCTCGGTCTAAATCAAATTGGTGGGCCTCTCACATTTGAGTCCCAGAGTCTACCACCTGTGAAGGGGGTTGGGAATGGGCAGGGCAAAGGCCATCTACTACTTTCGGTTAAGGGTCTCAAAAACTGGAATGAGTCACCTTGGCATGGTGACTCACACCTGTAATCTTAGCACTTGGGAGGCTGAAGCAGGAGGATCACAAGTTCAAACCCAACCTGTGTTACAGAGTGAGTTCCAGAACAGACTAAACTACCTAGCACGACTTTGTCTCAAAACCTTCCCTGAAAAGCTACCGTACAGAGGAAAGAAAAAACAAAAAACAGTATAATAATCCAGGGAGGAGCTGTCAGGAATTCTCTTCAGTGCCCGCCCCCAGTGAATCTTAAACGTGCCCCCCAGGACTCCACCTCCTGCTCCCACCCAGCTGCAAGGCAAGCTGAGTCAAGTACAGATGAGTCAGGACTTTCCCATCTCACATCTCCCTGTCTGCCCTTCAAGAGCTGGTCCTAGCTCCCAAAGACCCCTCTTCCTTGATCCCAGATGACACTTGAAACATGTAGAGCAGCCTTGGGAGGCAGGAGGAACGATGGTTGGCAGGGCGATGCTTAAGCACTGAGTGAACAAGGAGCTGTCCTGACCCCAGGCCAGAAGCCCCTGGAGATGTGGCCCGTCAGGAAAGGCTGGAGCTTTGGGAACACAATGCTCTAAGAGTGGGGAGAGGTGACATGTTCACAAACAGGGAGCAGGTGCAAGTCACCTGAGTAAAAGGCCCGGGAGCCAGCCCATGAGAATGTGCCTGGAGCAAAGGAGCTGAGACAAGGGAGCTGGGGCCAGGCACGGTGGGCACTGGCCTGCGGTCCCTGTACTTGGGAGGCTGAGACAGGATCCAGGCCAGCTTTGAGAGACTTAACCAGCTTCTAGAACAAAAAGCCTGAAGTGGGGTCACTTGACTCCACTGTGTAAAATAAGGGTAGGCCACAGATTAGGGGTTAGTGAGACAATCCCAGTTGGAGGAGGGAGTCAAGGAAGGCTCCATGGTCAGAGACTCCAGCCCTGTTTAACACAACTGTCCCCCAGTTGGGCAGGCATTCATACACCCAGTAGCAATCTGCCTGTTTTCATGCCAAGAGTCTGCTTGACCAGACCAGACCAGACAGCCCACAGGTCTTTCTGACCTGCTCATAACCATCTCAGGGAAGCGAGGCATTGGAGTTCAGGAAACTGAGGCAGGATGCTTTCTGAGGCTTCAAGATCAGCACAAGCTACACAAGGAGCCCCACAATCAGACTCTCGCTACAGTAAATCTTACTGTAAGACTCTCTACAAAATAAATATCTATGCCTGGGTATGGTGGTTTACACCTTCAATCCTATCACTTGAGAGGTAGAAATGGGCTGGCTTTCTGTGATTTCAAGGCTAGCCCAGGCTGCATACCAAATTCCAGGTCACCTAGGGCTGAGTATGAGATGCTATCTCTCTTTCACTCACTCACCCACCACCAGCACCACCAGCACCAGCACCACCAGCACCAGCACCACCAGCACCAAACAAAATATGTTTTACTTCAGGGCCAGTGACATCATCAGTAGAACAAGCACTTTATCAGAGAGAGGACCTATGAACAATCTTAGAAAGACCAAGAAAACGAAGAGTGAGGAAAAGCTTTGGAGGACCCATGTCCCCACATGTGGTAAACAGAGACTTTCAGAAAAGAAAATGTGATACAAGGGGACAGGGTCCTTGGCCTCTGGCTGAGGGAAGATTCAACTCCCAAGATAATGTCCCAATTCCCCTTTCTCCTGGGTGTCAGGACCCCCTGGTCCTCAGAAACGCTCTTCCAGCACTCAAGTTACTCCCTCTCCCTGAGGTGGTGATTCAGCCGGGTGGGGAGGTCGGGGATTTAGAGTGCAGCTCAAGGACCCCAGGTGTTATTCTGACAGGGACCCTCTAGGTGGGGACTTCCAGGATTGGGGGGTTGGGGTCCCCTGACCTAGGTTCCTAGCAAAACTCCCCTCCCAGGAGTCCATGCAAATAAACAGTTTTGCTTGGGAGGTTTTACCTGGGAGTTCCCAGCCAGCCTGCCCCACCTATAACCCCAGGGTAAGGTCAGACACTCCTAACCCTGCAGGACCATGTAGTCTGCGGATCCTCCGCAGTGCAGGACCTTTGCACAGAGTGCCTGTGGGAGACTCTTTCTGCTCTACTCTTTCTGGACCACTGTCCCTCTGGAGCCTGTGGGGACAAGTGGCGTTGTTGCCGGAACAGGCCTAAGTCCACCCCACTTCTCCCGACTCTGTCAGCCATTACCGTGAGTCCAGACCTCAGGAAGCAATCATGCCCTGGCAGTGAGTAGGATGCCCCCAAAAGACTGCTGCCCAATCCCTAGCTACTCCCTCCCACTAGGGAGAGGGGTGAGGGGGGGGGCACTAGGAAACAAGACAGGGCAGGAAGCCCAGGCAGGCAGCGGGCACTCTGGGCCAGGCACAAACAGCCAACACAGGAAACCACAGCCCACCCCCGCCCACCCCACCCGCCCAAGGCTCTGGGAGAGAGGAGTGCCAGAAGCCTAGTACCCTGACTGAGGCCAGGGCCAGGGGTTAGCCCGGGGCAAAGGAGGTGCTCAAAGTCCTCTAGACCGCTCTGCCCCAGACCCTATCTGGGGAGGGGGAGAGGAAGCCAGGCTGGCAGGGATGGCGCTGCCTCTTTAAATCCACCGAAATCCTGAGCTAGGCCCAGCCCAGCTCTGGTTTCACAGGAAGGAAAGGAGTTCAGGAACCAGTACAGCAGACGGGCAGTGGCTGGAATTAGCCCCTCTGCCCAAATATATCTGGACTCCACTGCCACTCCACTGGCACTTCCTGCCCCCTGGCACCTGCACCAGAGTGGGGGTAGGAGAGGGTCTAGGTGCTACTTCTCCCTAATGGGAGATCCCAATTTCAGGAGGTGGCCTGTTGCTGTGTGGCTAGGGAATGACTTCTTAAACTAGTACTCCTACAATGGGGGAAAAAATGAGCCAAGCAGCTTCCTGGGGGCCTTCACCTGGTCCTGTCTCCCAAGGGGTTAATCTGGCCCCTATTTAGGGGGGCATGGGTGGCCGAGGAACCTCCTCCAAACTGCCTGGCTACTGGGAACAATGGGGCCATTGTGGGAGGAGTGGAGTGCGGGCAGGCGGCTGGCACACACCACGGGCAGGACCTCGCCCAAAGCCTGCCTGCCTGCCACACTCGGCTCTCTCCCCCAGGTACAGCCAGAGGCAGACACATCTTCCAACCCGGCCTTGCCTGCCTGGCCCAAGCTCTTGGCACCAGCAGTACCTGGATGACTATCTAGCCCCGTCTACATCGTCATGCAGATGGCCATGACCCTCCAGGAAGCAGGGGCTTCTGGGCCTGGGCGAGTGGGGGTGGGGTGATGAGACCGGATGTATGCCTGTGATCCTCCTGCAGGGCAGACAGGAAGGCCAAACTAGGTCTCTAGTGTCAGCCCTGGCGCCCTCAGGCCAGGAGGGCTTACAGGACTGTGAACAGTGACAGGCAAGGTCCCCTGCCCCAAGGCCTTCTTTCCCACACCCATCCCATAAACCTTCCCTCTGAGAAGGTCTGATGCCCACTGCAGCCTTGACCAGGGTTGGGACCCTGGTGGGTATGGGGGCCAACAGAATGAGAATCTGCTCTGTAGTTGGGCAGATAGAATGCCAGTCACATCGTGCCACTTCTAAACTGTAGAACATTGTCCATCTCTTCATCCCCTTGAGCCTCAGTTTACTCACAAGCAAAATTACAAAGTGAGATATTAGCAGAAACCACCTAAAAATGTCTATGATACATTAGCCCTCAGCAAAGTCCCTTGGGCAATCTCTCTTTGCTAACACAGTACCCACGAATGTGGCATGTCATAAAGGTACATCTGTAATGAGAAGCACCATCTAGATATTTACTCTATGAGTATTCAGGCAAGCAGGGCCCATGGGCATCATTTTGGTGTTACACAGGGACATGGCTTTTCTTTGCTCTCTGTGAAGAAGAAGTTTGTCCACTCTACTAACATGGCCCCTAAGCACCCCTGAGTTCCCCAACTTTCTCCAACCCAGAACAGGAATGTAGAGAGAGCCGCTATCCCTAGCTCTTAGCCTCAGGTCTTACCCAGGAGGAGAGTGAAGGGGGACTTCCCTTCTAGTGATCTGTACCCCTCCAGGCTGACGGACCCCTTTGGCGATACATGCAGGGTTGAGCCAGGAGGAAGTGTGCGTGTACTCTCTTGCCATGGCTCTCTTTAGACAGTAGAGAGGGTCTTAGAGAGAAGGCACAGTGGACAAGTAGTGTTCTAGAGGACAGGAGGGCCCAAGGAGGAAGCTCCATTCTCTTCTCAACCAGAAAGGGCTATACCTCTCAGGGAGGGGGGCCCACAAGCCCATAAAGGGTTAACAAGGTCCTAAAAATAATCCTGTTCCCAGCAGGACCCGCTGATCAGAACCCTTCAGCCATCTGTTCCATTTTCTCCTGTTCACATTGGAACATCTGAAACCAGCCCCAGAGCCCCAGCCCGTTCCCAAAAATAGCCCCAGCCTGCCCAAGGAGCAGCCCCAGAGGCTGGCACAGGACACATCGCCAGCTCAACAGTTAAGCACGATGGCACAGGCAGATAAGCCCTCCCCTCCCAAGCCCACAGGGAAAGGGAAGTCCTCTCTGTCCCAGGAGGAGGGTAGCGCGCGCAGCCTGGGGGCTCTAGCCCATCCCTCCTAGTCCAAAGCCACAGTGGGCACCTGCTAGCCAAGCCCAGACCTCAGACCCAGGAGCCCTGCTATTCCAGGGCTCCCATTTCTTAAGCCCCAGAAGATACTAACCACCTGTCTGCTTAGATCCTTTCTTCTGCGGGTGATCTAGCCCTGCCATCTCCTCCATGCTCCTCACCCAAAGGTTCCCAAGCTCCATCCCCTACCATCCCAGCCCTACCCCAGGATCTTAGAGAGTCCTGGTCACCCACTGACACTCCCAGTCTCCCCTGCTGAGACACTAGGGAAAGATTCCAGGGGCATCCCCCCATGATATCAGGGACAATGACATGCCCTTGCTCTCCTTCTGGGCTTGAGGCTAGCCTTCCCTGCCTCTCCGTGAGGTGCTGACATGCTCACCCCATCTCCCAGGCAGGGCCCCTCCATGTTCAGAAAGTGTTCAGGAAGGACCCCTAAGCCCTGAGCAGGCCTAACCACCGTCATCCACATCACAGCTCCACAATGCCTTACTTCTCCCTACGGAAGGTCCCTGACTCCTAGACTAGGAAAGAGAGAAGGAGGCCGTGGAAGCCATTTAAGGACAGTGTCTCCTTCAGTCTGATGAAAGAACAGAGCAGCAGGGGTTGGATGGTGGGAGGGGCCCCCAAACTAAAGCAAACAAACATCTCGGGGGAGGGAGGAGGGCTGGGCCCAGAAATTCAAGGGCAAGGCCATAGGGAGAGGGGGGGTCCCCAGAACCCAAGCAAGTCTTTTTTCCAGGTCCAAAGGCAACTACAAAACTTGCAGTCACAGCCTCAGCCAGCACCAACAAACAGTGGGGGAAACTGAGGTAACAAGGTGAATCTCGCCCGCTGTGGTAGCCCGTGACTTTAATCCCAAAACAGAGGCAAGCAGAGCTCTGTGAGGTCAAGGCCAGCCTGGTCTACAAAGCGAGATCCTGCCTCAAAACACTAAAACAAGCTGGGAGCTGGTGGTGCACACCTTTAATCTGGATCAGCACTCACTGAGGAGGCAGAGGCAGGCGGATCTCTGTAAATTCCAGGCCAGTCTGGTCTCTAGAGGAGGTCCAGGATAGCCAGAGCTGTTACAGAGAAACATAAAACAAACAAAACAACAACAACAAAGAAACAATTTACTATGCAGCTAAGAATGGTCTTGAATTCATGACCTTCCTGCTTCTACCTTAAAATTGCTGGGATTATGCCGGGCGGATCTCTGTGAGTTCGAGGCCAGCCTGGGCTTCCAAGTGAGTTCCAGGAAAGGCACAAAGCTACACAGAGAAACCCTGTCTCGAAAAACAAAACAAAACAAAAAACAAAAAAAAAAAAAAGATTGCTGGGTTTATAGGTTTGTACCTCCATACCTGGTTTACACTCAGTTGATATTGTACTAGGCTTGAACTCAAAGCTTCATGCGTGATAAGTAAGCATTCTATTAACCTAACTACATCCCTAGTTTAGCCTTTTCTTATTATTTTTTGAGATAAGGTCTTACTATGTTACTTAGGCTGGCCTTGAACTCCCAAAGACGGAGGTGGGGGGGATGGGGGTGGGGAGAGATTCCTTCCTCAGCCACTAAATGGTTGGAACTACAGGCAGGCTCTTCTATCACCATAGCCTTGGAAAATACTTTATTTATTTCTATATTCTTGGGGTGTTTGGAGTTCGCTGGTCTGCTTGTCTGTTTGAGACTGGGTATCATCACACCGTAACCCAGAATGGCCTCCAACTTGAAGAATGACCTCAAATTTGAAGAGATCCTCCTGCCTCTACCTCTCAGTTACTGGAATTCCCATGCCTGGCTTAGAAAGCCCTTTTATTATTCCCTCTTTGCAAGAAAGAAAAGTTAAAGTAGCTTGCCCAAGATACACAGCCCACCATTACAAGACCAGGATTGGAAGGAAGCTCACCACTCCAGCAATTGGGTTCTTAGCCAAGGCCCTGCCTGTACAGATGCTGCATGGAGTCGGTCCCTCACAGCAGGCACAGTCAGGTCTGGCCTTCATCCCATGCACCCTCTCACCCTACCTCTAGGTCTGATGGGTACCAGGTCCCGCACTAAAGGCCACAGTCCATGCCTGGGGAAGAGATCAGAGTCCTGAACCCTGCGGCCTCTGCACAGGTGCCCTGCTGGGCCAGGCCTGAGCTCTCGGAGAGCAAAGTTCTTGGGCCTCCCCAACCCCACCCACCCCCAATCCGTTACCTCCTCACCTATCCAGGTCCCTAACAAAGTCAGCAAAGTCGCAAGGCACGTTCCAGTGCTCTAGCACAGGCTCCTGCTGAGACGCCCAAGGCTATGAGAAGCCTTGCTCTCTCCCTCACTCCCCCCTCCCCCCGCCCCCGCCAAGCCCCAGGTGGGAGTCAAAGGTCAAGTGGGACTTTCCAGAGAAGGCTGAAGTCCAAGACCCCCTCCCAACCCACCTATCCCATTGCTCTCCACTTTTTCACTGCCCAAGGTGGAAGCAGGGCCACTTCCGCCCTAAGGATAGTGGCCTCCAGCAGGGAAAGTTGGGGGGTATTAGGAGAAGGAGCTAGAAGTTCTCCCTCCAGAGGACAGTCCAGGAAAAAGAGGCTGCTCCTCCCTGTCTGTCCTTCCCTTCCCCAGGCTTTCCCTAACCAGACAGGAGCTCACAGGAGTGTTTGTTGTGAATTCAGAGTTGTTGCTAAGTAAGGAGGGAGGGGAGGGAGGAGGGAATGTGTGTGTGTGTGTGTGTGTGTGTGTGTGTGTGTGTGTGTGTGTGTGTGTGGTTAGTGTGTGCATGCCTATGGAGAGCCAGGGCAGCAGAAACCACACTACGGTGGTGGCTGGTGGCCAGTGGCCACCCTGGATTTGACTCAACCAGTAGAGGCCAAAGTCAAGGAGCGGGGGACAAGGAATTGGGACAACCAGAAAATCTACCTTGCCCTCCAGGTCGACAGAGCTGAGTCTCCCACTTCCCACCAGGGAAAGAGGCTGAGAAAAGGCCTAGAACTTTCACTAGCTCCAGCTTTAACCCTTCCCTGTCCAGCATACCCTTTACCCCAACAGTATTCTAAGTTGAAGGCTCTTTACCCACCCAGAGACAGAGGGGGCTGCGAGAAGCCAGGGCCGAAAGCCAGGAGGAGGGAGCTCAAAAACAAGTCAAGCAGGAGGCTGGCTAAGCAAGAAAGATGGGGCCACTGCAGACAGGGATGGGAAGGCCAAACACACACACACACACACACACACACACACACACACACACACACACACACACAAGGACATGGACCCGCTCACCTCTGAATAATGTGTGTCAGGTTCAGGCTCAGGGGTGTGGTCTGGAATGGGGGCTCCCTGTGGAGAGAGGGTCACAGCTAAAAGTCCCTGGCCAGTAACCTATGCCCCTGATCCTCCCAGCACCCCAACCCTAGCATGCCCCCCGGCCCCCCCTCCCCCGTCCCCGCTGCCGTAATTTACAGACGACCTACAGCTCTAGGAAGTCTCAGAGTTGCTCAAACCCCCCCCCCTTTTTTTTTCTGTGGATTGGCCAGGAGCCAGGGCTGCCCCAGCTGCCCCACCACACCATACTACCACCACCCCCCTCCCTGTCCTGGAAGCAGGAAGGAGAAGGCACTGGACGATCTCAGAGTTAGTTCCCTGAGAGCTTGGCCCCACAGAGAGAGGGAGGGGTGGAGGACTCCCACGACCTGGCCTGAGGACCTGGGGGGAGGGGTGGAGGAGGCCCAAGGATCCCAGCTTCCAGAACCAGTCACCCCCAGGTTAACTTGTGGCAGGGGAAAGGGCTTAGGTTCCTAGATACCTATGTGGTCTCCTGGTCTACAAGGCTGGTCCCCTGAGTCCTAGGGACCTGATCTAGGTACCAGGGCCTGGGGTGAGAAAGGTTTAGCAGCTTAGTAACAGGCCCTGAGTGAGGCTCCCAGAGCAGGAGGGAGGCTGGTGGCTGGGCTCAGTTTGTACTGGGGGTCAAAGGGGAGTTCTTTTCCGAAGAATTCTGGGAGAGACGCCAACTAGAGCAAGCTGCTAACCACCCCCCCTCCCTCTCTCTTGCTGCACTGGGGGGGGGGGGGGTGTCCCTGCCAACCAGACTTAACCCTCTGCAGCCTGCATCGCTCCTTGGCTCAAATGGGGGAGGGACCACGGGCTGCACCCAGCTTCTAGGGACGGGGCTAGGTAGCACAATGTGCCCACCAGAAGGAGGCTGTCTCCATGTGGTTCCATCTGCACCACCCTGCCCTACCACCATCTAGGTGACTTTCCTAGACTCAGCTCCCTAAGGTGTCTGCAGTGACGTGCCTGTGTGCATGTCTCAGAGACAGAGATTGAGAAACAAACTGAAAATTCCTTGCCAAGGCCCTCCTCCTGCTGGGTCACTGAGCACTGTACCAACATGGGCCTCTACTCCTCCCTTCCTCCCACGGCACTGGGGACCAGAGGCCACTGGAGGGGACAGGGAAAGCCTATCCTATGCCTACCTCCAGATGCTGCTCCATAGGCCCTCCACTCATACAAATATCCCCTACCCATCTTCCTCCACACTGACCTTGGCATGTACTTTCAGAAAAGCATTCAGTTACGGTCTGAGATTCTAAGACAGGAAAGGAAAGTGAGTCCTAGAGAGGAGTTGGAACTTCCCAGGGACTATATATCCCCCACCAACTTAAATATGCTTTCATGCTGTCAACACTCAGGATCTAGCCAGAGGAAACAACAACAACAAAAACAAACAAACAAACAAACAAACACCAAAACATTCTGAATCTCCCCTCCTGAAAAACCTGACCCACAGTAGGTAGGAGGTAATGAAGCTAGACAGCGGTAAGAACTTCCCTGGACCAAGGCTACACCGGTCCACCCCAAATGCCTGGATTCCAGCCCCTCTGCCTTTTGCTTGGGATTAAATTTTGAGCTTGTTTTGTTAAGCAGCTGTGAGTGAAGAAGTCATGTTTTCTGAACCTGAAATTCACCACCAAACTCCCAGGTAAAGTGTGACTGATAGTTCCTGGGCTCTAACGAAGGAAGTGACCCTAGAGGTGGAAGGAGCATGTCCCTTTAGACCCTAGGCCCCCTTTACAAGTCATCACTACACCCTCGGGACACAGGGTTGCCTGGTGCTGCTGGCATACAAGGACAGAGAGAGAGGGACCAGCCCCTGGCAAGTTTATCCCAGCGGCTCCCCACCCCACCACTCTCTCTCCAAGGCCTCAGAGCCGCCAGAAGCTTGGGCCTCACTCCAGGAAACCTCCCCTATCAAAGGGCAGAGGACTCCACGTCCCAGGGAGCTGCAGGAGACCTGTGACTACACCCCCCCAGACATGTTCCCGGGGTGGAGGAGGAGGCGGAACAGATGCAGAACGTAAGCACACATCAGAGACACACCTCCAGCGCACTCCTCAGAAAGAACCCCCAGACACACACAAGTGAGAGACACGCAGACACACTTTCAAGGCACCTCCTAAAAATAGCCCAGATTTTCCTTAAGACCTGTGTGTGTAAGAGTGACATATTCAGAGACAACCCACGAGAGCTCAGGAACAGCCAGACATCAGCCAGTCACCGAGAACTACTGACACAGACACACCCACTCCAGGACACACGCAGAGCCACCGCATACAAAGTGGCACAGTGTGTGTTCCAGTGGAGTCCCTCAAGCAAGGTACAGGGGAAAGTCAAATTCTGAGACAGTCGCGGGCGTGGGGAGGGGAGTCAGAGGGGCGGCAGGCAGGGAAGCACTCAGGATTACAAAACAATCCCGGTTTCGAAATGCTGGAAATGCTGGATTCAGGGCCATTCCTGAAGCTGGGGAGGGAGGGGTGGGGGGGGAAGGGAACAGGCCAGCTTGGAGGTACCAGCCCCAGGAGGAGTCCAGGGCCCAACAGAGGTGGTTCAGCCCTCCGGGGAAGGGGACCCATAAAGGGCTAAGTTAGGAGCAGCAGTTGGTCTAGAACTAACAGGGGAGGGCCCTGCCTGCTGGACAGAGGGCAAAGGAAAGGCCTCCACGGGCTTTTGCCACTGACAGGTAAAGTCAGGACCCAAACGGAGCCTCCACTCCCCTTCAGGACTGAAAATAAGAAGCCACCACACCTCTTACCTACCCACAGAACAAGGTGATCAGCCTTCTCTCCAGAATAGTGCCTTGGCTCTGCTTCCCTAGCTAGTAAGGGTCAAGAGGCAGTAGGAGACAACGGTCCCCACACTCGGGGAACATCTCCTCCCTAGGAGTCTTCATGAGAAACTGCCTCAGTTTCCCGTGAGTACCCTCACACCTAGGAAGTCACCTCTCCTTGGTAGCCAGAATGTCCTCACTGCCCCTCCCCCAACCTTCAGGGAAAGTAGACAGAGGGAGGGACGGAGGGAGGGAGAGAGGGAGAGAGGGGAGGTCAGGCCAGGCTGGGGGTGGGGTTTTAGAGGCCTGGCCCTGGCACCCGGCAGAGGAAATTCCAGGCTGTAACTCCAGGCTGCCTTCAGGGCCACCCATCCAAGTGACATGCTACAAGCAGCTCTGAAGCTTCAGGGCTACGATCCGATCCTCTTCACCCATCCTCTCAGTTCCTGGCCCTGGCCCTGGCCCACCCCAACCCCAGCCCTCCAGTCCCAGCTCTGGAACTCAGAGGTCCAGAGCTGGGAAAACTTAGTAATCCCTGGAAGAAATCCCCAGCCATGGAAGGAGCCCCTACCAAGCTCCTTGGATGAATCTGAGCCTTTCTTCAGATCCCTGGGGGCAGTGAGCACAGTGTGGCTATGGGTGGGCAGCTGTTGGGGCTGGCAAGCAGGGGTACAGATGCCAAGCTACAGCAGCCAGGCGTTCAACAGGTTGAGCCAGTCCCTGGAACAGCCAGCCCCACCCCAGGGAGAGCGGGCCTGGCAGAGGCTTCCTGCCTGGGGCACCCAGCCTGTACCGCTTTGCTCCCACGGCTGCCCACTTTCCCACGGTGCCATCCCCCCCTCTGTCCCCTCCCCCTCCCCGGTCAGCACCCGGGCAGTGCCCAGGGCTTTGGTACAAGGAAGCAAGGGATGCCATCTCCCTGTCATCCTTGGGTGCCCAGGCTCTTCAGGTACCTCACTATCACCAATGGATGGAGAAAGCTCAAGCAAAGTAAACATGGCATCGGGGCTACATCAGTCCCCCACCCCCACCCCCTACTGGGCTTTCTTTGATCCCAGGAAGACTGGACACAGACACTCTGGCTCCCTAGAGCCGCCCCAGGGCGCTGGGACAGAACCTCAGCCTGAGGCAGCGCCAGAGGCAGGGCGGCGAGGGTACCCTCAGCAACTCATCTCAAGGTTCCCTGGGTGAGCGGCTGCAGGGTGACTGCTGGCTCCCTCCACTTATGCTGCCAGCAAGGCTGCTGCCTCCACTCCCCACCCGACTCCAGGGCTCCCTGGAGTACCATCCTAGCCACTTCCCCCACCAAAGGCAGCCGGCCCCCACCAAAGGCAGCCAGCCCCCACCAAAGGCAGCCAGCCCCCACCAAAGGCAGCCGGCTGCCCCTTTGTACCTCATTTCCTTTAATCTAAAGCAGGTGCCAGGCATTCTGGCCCTTGCTGAGTCGACAGTACCACCCTGCCACCCACTAGGTCTCTGCCCATCCAGCTACTGCCCTGCACGGTTATTGAAGTTGAACCCCCCCCCCAGCCTAAGGCTTCAGCATAATCCAGGTACCTGGAACTTGCTAACCAATCGTGGGTGCTAGGTGTACTTTGAGTGAGCACTGATGCTCTAACTCCAGATTTCTGGGAGCCACCACCCGTGAGCCCTCCTCCTCATCCCAAGCAAGAGCAACAGGGCTTAGCAAAGAAACCCCTGCAGGGAGGTGGCCAGAACCCTGGTCCTTCAAAGCCAGGTAGGTGGGTCACCTGAGGGAGACAGTGTTTTCCTTCCTAGTACCAGAATCCCGCTTCCCACCGGCTTCTCCCGTTCTCACGCTGTCCCGAGGCTTCCAAGTGTGGGGCCTGAGAGCTGACTCTGAGCACGCTCTTCCCCTGGAGCCATGAAATCATGGTCTTGACCAGAGAAGGCAGTCAAGCTAAAGCTGGGGAGCAGCAGAGGAACTCCTGCCTCGGGGAGGTGACTGACACCCACACGCACACCCCCCACCCACCCACCCCCCGGGAGAGGCTGAGGAGGAGGGGAGCTGGAAGTGTAAGTACTGGCATTGGTGGTGGTGTAGCAGATACAATACAGGCAACATTCTCAGGGAGGACCAAGCAGTTCAGCCGGAGGGAGAGAGGTGGAGCAAGGGGGGGGGGCATAGACCCCCCTTTCCAGAGCTCAGACACACATAGAAGCCCCCCTAAAACCACGCTCTTTCTCCTGAAGCAGAGGTCCTCCAGACAAGACATGAACACATACCCCAAGCAGCAGACAGACAGAAGGAGGAGGGAGGAAGGGGGTGTCAGAAAAACCCGGAAGGAAGGAAGCTGGACAGACAGACAGAAGCTAATCCTTGCTTCATTGCTGTAGAAAGACACACTCTAGACTCCCAGGCTTTGAGGGATGTTCTATTTCTCTGCCTCCAAGAGGGAAAAAGGAAGGCCAGACCCCCCTGTCTCCTGAAACCAAATTCCAGCAGCCCTCAGAAAGGACCATGCTCTAGCCATGCAGGAGGCCTAAGTCTTCTCTTCCTCACATCTTCCCCTCGAGCTCCTTCGGATCAAGGAAGGAGCCACCTTCCCTAGGCAGTACAGGGAAACCTCCAAGGGACTGTGTGACTGCCCCACCCCCAGCCAAGCCCACACCACTCAGAATCCTTGGCAGGGGAGGCTCCTAAGGCTGAGAGGCAGTGCCTGGGGGCAAAGGATGACCCCAGCTCTCCCCCTTGTCCCAACCCTCTTCCCGCAGGAGGCTCTTACGAGTCAGAGGAGTAGTGCAGGGGTGCTGGGACCCACAGAGTTAGTGAGCCTGGGAGGGGGACTACATCTCCCAGAAGCCCCCAGGGCGAGTTCCCTGCTCCAGCTGGCCCAAGGCCGGCCTTGTTCTCTGAGCTAAGGTAGTAGGGTCCCCTGGCTGCCCCTAAGCCCTTCTCCTGGTGCACCGAGGCTGCCAGCCTGGTTGAGGAACTAAGGATATCCTCTAATGACCCAAGAGGAGTCCCCCGCTTCCTAAACAGCCCGGGGGTGCGTGCTAGAACGTAAGAGACAATCAGACTGAGCTTCCCCTCCCCAATTTAAACTGGATCTCGCTTGGCGCGCTCCTGCTGGCCTGGCATGACTTTAGCCCTCTGCCCCAACCCGACCCTCACCTCGCACCGGTCGGGGGTCCTCACGCCAGGCCGGAGCTGGACGCCATAACCAGGTCAGGGTCGGTGGGTGGACTGGGATCCTCCAGCAGGACAGTGGAGACACGGAGAAGGCGGGCAGGCGGTGATCTTTTGATCCTGGACGCCTTGATCTCAATACCAGCCCGGCCCGCGAGCAGGTATCCGGGAGGCTCTGGTTGCCTGGGTTCCTGCCTCCCAACCGCGGGGCATGGTCCTGGGCGCCGGCAGCGGCGGGAGAGCTAGCGCACCGCCCGGCCGGGGCTCCGGGCTGGGGTCTCGGCCCAAACCTCACGGCTCCGGCTGTTGCCGCTCCTGCTCCTCCTCCTCCTCCCTTCCTTCCTTCCTTCCTTCCTCCCTTCCTTCCTTCCTTCGCCTCCTCCTTTCACTTTCCCCGAGGCCCGCGGGGACGGCGGGCGCGGGGCGGGGAGGGGGCTGTCTAGGCGCTTATTGTTGGTCGAATGCCGAGGGTCCAGGTCGCAGCCCCGGGGCGGCGCGGCGCCAGGGGACCCAGGCGTGCGGGCGTCCGGCCGGCTGGCTCCCGGCGGCGGCGGTGCTGCAGCGGCCCCGGATCCGGGGCATGTCCGGCCACTGGCTCCGCCGCGCGCCGCCGCCTCCCCGGGCTCCCCTGCGCTGCCGGAGCCTCGCTCGCCCCTCCACTCGGCTCCTCTCCCCAGCCTGAATAAGCATCGGGGCTCTCTGGCTGCCTCCTTCTGCCTTCATACCAGAGCCGGGAGAGGCCCCTGTCAAAATAAGAGCTCCCCCATCTCGCTCGACTCCTCGCCCAACCCGGCTCCCCCAGCCTCCCAGTGGTCTGACTCGGTAAGGCGCCCGACCGGCTAGCAGGAGGCAGTTGGCCCTGGGCGGGGAACGGAACGGGCCTTCAAGCCACCTCTCCTCCCCCGATTCCTGAGGACTAGGGAGGAGAAGGATCCACAGCATCCGAGGCAACGGAGAGGTCTGAAAACCTACCCTCCTATCTGCACGGCTTGGAAAGAGTGGGAGTTGCCTGGACACACACACACACACACACACACACACACACACACACACACACACACACACACGTTTCCCTCTTTATTGTACCCACCCACATCCATTATGCACTGAGAGCATTCCCCCCTCCCCCTGAGGACATAGACTGATTTTTTTTTTCAATTAAACCTTCAGCAGTGCAAATTGGATGCTAAGAAAATGTTTGAGGAAATGAAACCTTTGTCTTCTCAAACTCTCCCTAACCTCAGAAGGCTTCACACATACAGTCACAGCACACACACAAATATAAACACCGACCTATGTCCTATGGGACAGTAGACACATGAGAGAAAAAAAAAATTCTAAGCAGTTTCTAAAAACATGTCATATGTTATCTCAACAGTCACCACAAACCTACAAGAAAGGTGTTATAGCCCCATTACACAGTTGAAGAAACTGAGGCTTGAGTGACTTAAGCCCTTACTCAGAGTTGCACAACTAGAAAGCAGTGAACCTAGGGCTAGAATTCAAGTCCTCCTATCCCAGGACACTTCCCTTCTATCCCAATGCCCCTTCCCCTAGAATGGATATAAACCAGAGACAGGCACTGACTGCCTCAGAAAGGACACCAGCAAGCTGTTTCTTCTGTTCCCAGCTCACCTGTCCAGAGTACTGACTCCGTGTCTTGTTTCTCCTGTCTGTACATCTGGCTGGCACAAGATTTCTGAAAACCCAGACCACAACTACCCGTCTGTGTTTCTTGTACGAAGGACTCGAGTGTTGGCCAGGGTCACAGTAGGGCTTCAGTGAATACTGACTGGATGGGTGGATGGTGCCAGGAGCTGGGCACTGGACAAGATCCGGAGATCCAGAAGGAGAACAGGGCATATCCCTGAGTGAAGAACCTCAGCTCGAAGAAAGGTGAAGTCAGGAGGATCAGGAGTTCAAGATCACCCTCAGCCCTAAGCTATATATAGAACCTAAGCTCAAACTGAGCAAATATTCGAGTCTACCTAAAATATAAGTAAAAACAAACAAAAATCCTGAAAGTGGAGAGACTAGAACTGTAAAATATATGTGTGATAACATTATGATTTACAGAGTACTTTCATGTACATTATCACATGACCATGTCTTGGGTTGGTTTTTGTTTGGTTGGTTATTTTGAGACAGTGTCTGTACTGTAGCCCTGGCTGTCCTGAAACTCTCTCTGTAGATAGGCTGGCCTTGAACTAAGAGATCTGCCTGCCTCTGCCTCCAGAGTGCTAGGATTAAAGGAATGGACCACTATGCCCAAGGACCATTTTTTTAATAGAAATATTTTGGTTTTGTTTTATATATAGCTCTATCTTCATTTAAAGGAAAAACAAAAATCTTGAGCCCAGAGCTGCTGATCTCTGTGATCCCTCTACTTAGGAGAGTAGACCAGTGAAGTTGGGTTTCTTCTCTCCCTAAGGTTCCTGTATACTATTAACCACAGGCAGAGGACCAGCTCACAAACAGGAACCTTGCAGCTTTTTATGCAGATCTGTCTCCCACCATACAAATGACAAGTCACTTGGCCTTCTTTGTTTGAGACAGGGTCTCACCATATAGCCATGGCTAGCCTGGAATTCTCTGTGTAGAGCAGGCTGGACTTGAACTCAGAGATTCACTCTGCTTCCCAAGTGCTGGGATTAAAAGCATACACAACCAAGCCCAGCCCTTCTTATGATCCCTTTTGGCACAAGTCCTGTTCATAGTAGGTCCCTAAATCAATATAAGGGGAATGATGGCTGGGTTGCAGGGGTCTCTAATGTAGTACATAATAAAACCCAAGAGTGTCTGGTATGTCCTGTGAAGCAGCCATGTGGAGCGCTCTCCTGGGTGTGGCTGTGACTCACTCCACCATTGTAGGTTCCAGGTCTGCATACAGAGCCCAGCTTTGGGTAGCCACGAGTTCTGGGTGGAACCCTGGAGCCAAAGAGCCGGGAAGGGGAGCCGGCAGCCCTTTGCTGGAATCGCGCGGCTCCCTCTACTGGCCAACTAGGGGAGCCACCGTGCTTCCGTGTGTAGCGGCATGACCAGGGATGTCACAGGTGTGCCAGTGAGCGTCCACGTCGGCTTTGGCCGGTAAAAGTGCGGCGTGGATATAATTGCATGAAGGTGCCCGTTTCTGATACCATGTCGCTGTGCCAACGCTGCCCAAGGCTGTTTCTGGAAACTCTACCCACAACCGCATCTTGTAATAAAATTTACTTTTGGACGGTGGGAAGAGGGCGCCCAGGACTGCTGTTATCTGAGATTAGCCTTCTTCCTGTTTCTGGAGTGATCAGAATGCACAGATAATGCTCGCACTCCTCTCCAGCGTGCACTAGCCCGAGCAGGTAGGCGCCGTTCGGGGGAAATTCTGTGGAAGGGACTCTGTACTCCGAAGCAACTAAGGACCCAAGAAAGGGTTAACCTCAAGCCCCACAGTGACTTCAGTCATTGGCTCGGGGCACTGCCCGTCAGAGTTCTGAGGGTGGGGTTTTTGAGGCTGCAGCCAGATTGCCCAGCGCCCCTCACTAGCCTCTGGACCCCCCTATCCTCTGACCGCTAGGCTGTGCCTACACTGTGCCTATTTGGGTGGAGACACCTTTCTGGCCCCTGGACGAGGCGCGGATCCGGGCATCCTGGCTTCCCCACTCTCTCCAGCTGCCTGGCTTCCTGATAGATGGTGATTATTATATAATAGACTTTCTGGACAGAGCCGTGCCAGCGCTGGGAACACTGCCCCTCCTCGAAGCCTGCCTTAGGGCCTGGCATCTGCCGCACCAACCTTACCGCCCAGCTGTGCCGACGTCCCCAGCACCGCCTCCTTCCGGGAGCGGGAGACCCCGAGAGCCACCTTCTTCCCAGGTGGCCAAGAGACCGAGTCCTGGGATGGGGCGGGCCCGGGCTGGGAGTCAGGCCGGCGCCCCGCAGGTCTCAGGGTCGGCCCGCAGAGCGAGGCTTTACCAGCGCCTCCCTAAGACCGTGGAGTCCACCTGGCCCCCTCCAACCTGAACTTGGAACTTGGGAGCCAGGAGAGGTGGGGCTGGGGGCGCTGGGGCCAGGGTCGGAAAGGGAAAGGAGTTTGGAAAAGCTGCGGGGGTAGGAAACTCCAGGCTGGGCGAGGGGGCCGGCAGGGGCAGGGGGGAGGGACTTTTATCCTGACAGGACTCCCGCCTTCTCCGACTGGAGGGTTTGGAAAAACTGAGCAGGCAGCCAAGCCTTGGCTGGAAATCTTGCAGCCCACCCTCCTGGGGACACAAAGCTGGAGGGCGGGGGGTGGAGGGCAGGCAGGGCGGGGGAAGAGAGCGCGACCCCGGGGAGGGCAGGGCCCCTTTTGGGGCTGGGGGCCCAGGGGCCAGGTCCCTAGGGAGGGGGTTCCTGGCGCTGTCTCCCTGCAGTCTGCTTTCCCCCATCTCCTTGCTCCCCCCTTCCCCCCTCCTCCCCATCTCTGGCTCCAGTCTTGCAGATTGCGGGCAGACTTAACTCCTAGCGTGCCAGCCTGGTGGACTTGGAGGTGGTGGCACTTGATTCGCGAAGGAGGGAGGGAGGGACTCCGAACCCCACTCCCACAGTTTAACACGTTAAGGCCCGGAACGCAATCCCGGAACTTCGGCCGATCTGAGCCCTGAAAGGCTGCCAGTAACTGGAGGAACAACGCGCAAAGCCGGCACCTGAGAGCTGCCAAATCCGGTCCGCTCTCGAACCTAGACTTAACTGCCTACTTCCGGCTCCCACCGTCTGTTACCTTCCCTTCACTGGTGGGCTCCCTCCCTCCCTCCCTCTAGCTGAAGTCCCTTGACAGATTGATGGCTGCAGAGAGACGGAAGTCTGGATTTTGAAGCTGCTTGAGCAGTCTCCACTAAAGCTTGTCCCAGGAGTTCCAGCGCAGGTGACCACTTCCTTTGCCTCCCTTGCGACCCGCAGGACTTTCTCTGTTCTGAGAGGTCACCTACCCATCTGAGGCAGAGAACTCTAGCCTCCCCGGGCCCTAGCTAGGAGAAGGACAAGGATCTGAGTTGCTGGAAACCCTGACTTTACCTCCACCCTGGCCTCCCCACCCCGGGCTGGACGCTCTGTCTCCGGGTCAAAATTGGCCCCCAGTTCCGCTAAGAATGACTGCTGGGGGGGGGGGGTACTTCAGACTGGGCAGGAAGGGGTTAACGGAACTCTAGGTGAGAGCCAGGTGAGGCACCGCCCATCTTGGCCTCAGGTGAGAGTAGGTGGGAGCTGGATAGAGACTGACCTCAAGGGTTGCTTTTTCTGCCCCCTTGTGGTTAAATCTGGCTTAACACCCACTGGCAAAAACCGTATCCTCACTGGGGATGTTGTAGATTGGCTAGAGAGCTCCTCTGAGGTGTGGAAGAAGCCACCGCAATCTTTGCCCTGCCATCCCCACTCAGCCGGCGGTTTTAGCCGCTTCCAGATGTGCAGATGTGCATGGTAGGATCCGCCTAGTAGTACTCAAGTGCGGCGCTACAGAGCTGAAGCCGGAGGCCTCTCCTCCCAAGTTCTCCATCTAATGGGGGGGTGGGGGTGGTCTGTAGGAAGGCTCCTCTTCGCTGCTTCCTCTCAGGATGCGGGCCTCCCAGGCTCAGCATCAATTGCAAACCCAGTGCCAGATTCAAAGCTCCCTAGCTTCCCTTCTCCTTCGCTCCCTTCTAGCCAAGTTGTCCCTCTCCTGGATCTCTCCACTTTGAAGGCTTCTGGCAGCTCCGCCATCACTTCTTCCTACCCTCACAAGGCTGAGACTCTCCCTATGCAGAAGCCTCCGGGGTCAAGAAAGTCAATGACTTAGAAGGGCTAGCCTCACTCCCTTTCGGTTGTCCTGGTTTCCTTCCCCTGTAGTTCCTGTTACCTTCTAGCTAAAATCCCTTTGTTTGAAAGTAATTCTGAGGGTGGGTTGTTCGTATTGCCTGAACCTGGGGTCTGTCGGTGCTCAGCCGCACTTTACCGCTGAACTAAGTCCCTAACCCTCTTACTCCTTTAAAAACTTGAAAACAGGGTCTCACTAAGTTGCCCCAGCTAGCCTTGAACTCACTCTGTAGCCCAGGCAGGCCCTGAACTTGCAATTCCCTTGCTTTAGCCTACAAAGTAGGTGGGTTCAGGCCTCTACCACGGGACCCAGCTCTCCTTGGGAGTTTGGGTAACCGACTCAGCCTTCTCTCAGCACTCCTCTGACCAGCTCTGCCTGCTTAGTCACTCAGCAAATACTTACCGAAGACCTACTATGTTCCAGGCACTGGACTGGACACTAGATTCATGTAGGTGACAAGACAGATATGTCCTTGCCTTCACACAGCCAGCAGTCTTGCTAGGGACAGACAATACACTGAGAATTATGACTCAGTGTGAGGAGGAGCTTAGGCTGTTCTCAGGAAAGAGCCTATTCCTAAGTTAGGCATAACAGGGAGGTAACATCTAGACTTCTGGAATCCTCGGGGAGACAGTACACATCTTGCTGGAAGTCTAAGAGGAGATTTTTCCCACTAACTGAAGAGATTTCTGAGCTCTCCTTCTCCCATGTTCTCCGAGGAAATAATCCTCCCAAGGAAAGAAGACTGGCCTGAAGGACAGACTATGGGACCCTGCCCTGATCACTTTCGAGGCCTGTTTCTTCCAATGTTAAAAATCAAGAGGGCTAGTGAGATGCTCAGTGGGTACAGCAGGTGTCTGTTGTCATGCCTACCGCCTGACTTCAGTCCCAGGGACCCACATTGTAGGTGGAGAGAATCAAGTCTCACAATCTCTTCTCTGACTTGCATGTGGAGACAGGCACCCCCCCATGAGGAAATAACAATGTTGTAGTGCTCACTTTAGCACACATATACAAACAAAAGAAAAAAGGAATGATATAAAGATTATCAAGCCCCCCCCCCCCCCACACACACACACGGATGACACAAATTCTTAAAGCATTCCTTTTTTTTTGGTATTCTTTTTTTTTTTCTTTTTTTTTTTTTGGTTTTCCAAGACAGGGTTTCTCTGTGTAGCCCTGGCTGTCCTGGAACTCATATTATAGACCAGGCTAGCTTCGAACTCACAGAGATCCGCCTGCCTCTGCCTCCCTCCCGAGTGTTGGGACTAAAGTTGTGCGCCACCACATCTGGCACATTCCATTAAAAAAAAAAAGTCTTTTAATAAAAGAAAAAGAACAGGGTGGATTTATTTGCAAGTGCATCTCTATTTTTTTTTTTTTTTTTTTTTTTTTTTTTTAGTTTTTCCGAGACAGGGTTTCTCTGCGTAGCTTTGCGCCTTTCCTGGATCTTGCTCAGTAGACCAGGCTAGCCTTGAACTCACAGAGATCCACCTGGCTCTGCCTCCCGAGTGCTGGGATTAAAGGCGTGCGCCACCACCGCCCGGCGCATCTTTTTTTTTTATTTTGAAATTTGTTCTTATATATATTGGTATTTTGCCCACATGTATGTCTATGCACCACTTTGTGTGTGGTGCCCATAGACACCCTGATCTCCTGGAACTGGAGTTCAGACAGCATGAGCTGCCATGTGGGTGCTGGGAATGGAAGCCAAAAGAGCAGCCACTCATTTTAACCACTGAGCCATCTCTACAGGCCCGTAAGTACTTCATCACCCTGAAGAAAGCAATTCGGTTGACTTGGCTATTTGTTGGTTCCATCTGTTGTTTTGGGAAAAGAGGCCTTGTTATGTAGGCCTGACTGACCTGGTAGTCACTATGTAGCCCAGGCTGGCCTCAAGCTTTTTGCAGTCCTTCTTCATCAGCCTCCAAAGTGCTGCAATCATGGGCATGAATCATCACACTTGGATGTTTTTTGAGAGAGGGTCTATGCAGCCTAGGCTGACCTCAAACCATCTGTACACACAACCTGCCCCCAACCAAGCCTGACTGAGTTTTAGTAATAGAGGTGTGCACCACCACCCTAACTACTAACAGGCATGTGAAGTGAAAACCACGTCAACCAACCAGTGCAAGATTCTTTTTTGAGATAAGGTCTCATTGTGTGTTGTTCAGGCTAATATCAAACTCCTAGAGTCAAACAATTCTCCCAATTCCCAAGAGCTCAGACTACAAGGCATTTTCCCCCCTAAGACAGGGTTTCTCTGTGCAGCCCTGGCTGTCCTTGGAACCAGGAAGGATGGCCTCAAATTTGGAGATCTGCCTGCGTCTGCTTCATGAATGCTGGGATTAAAGGGTGTGCACCATCACCGCCTGGCTTTACTAGGACATTCTTTGTTTGTTTGTTTGTTTGTTTGTTTTTTGAGACAGAGTTTCTCTGTGTAGTTTTGGTGCCTGTCCTGGATCTCACTCTGTAGACCAGGCTGGCTTCGAACTCACAGAGTTCCACCTGGCTCTGCCTCCTGAGTGCTGCGATTAAAGGCATGCGCTACTGCTGCCCGGCTGCTAAGACATTCTTAAGCCAAGGAAAAGGGCTGATGGTGTGACTCAAGGGCAGAGTGCCAATCTAGCATGTTCAGGGTTCTGAGTTCAATACACAGCACAGCTAAACGAATAACTAGAGCTAAATCTAGGAGATGCTGTCAGAGGCGGGGACCCAGAAAAAGCTGTAGTCACTTTCCTCCTCTCCTGGCCTGCTTCCCAACTATTCTGCCAGCGCTGCATCTTGGAGACATAATTCCTGCCATTTAATCCTTGTGTTAAGGGCTGGAGCCTTTCTGAGGTTGTACTGAGAACAGGGAGCACTCGCAGAATATGCTTACATGCTGCTTAATGTGCTCTTCTGTGCAGCACTATGGAACTGTCATTTTGAAGAGAGGGTTCAGAGGGTGCTGACAGACGTACGCAAAATCACATGGCTGGCAAGTGACAGCTGGGAGGTGACCAGGCCTTCTAGATCCCCATCCAGACTCTTTCCACGACACCATGGCGATGCTTGCTTCCAACTTTCCATTGGATTCCTTCCTGTGTCTGGCTCCCTTCCCTGTAAGGCCTTCAGAGCTGGAATGGCAGTCTTGGCCTCCTTATCTGGATCTTTCCCAGAGTGTGGGGTGCTCAGGGCTCCCAGCTCCCCCCGCCTTCTCTCTTGTCATGCCTCTATTTATATGTGTGTAGCTCTAGTTCATTCCATAATCACTAGATTATAAAGAAAGCCTGGGCCAGGCAGAGTCCAAATCCCAGCCAGACCCAAAGAGCTCTGGGACTTCAAACACATCTCCCCAGGCCTCCTGAAGATCTGTCAAGACCAGTAACCTGTTCTAACTCCTAGAGCATTTGTAACTCACAGTCCCAGGTTAGGAAGTGGTTCTGAAAGGCCAGGTATGGTGACACATGCCAGTAATTCCAGCATTCAGGAACAGGAGTTCAA